GGACCGAGGGCCTTCTCGTAGCCTACCAGTGCTCGCTGGTACATCTCCTCTGCCTCCTTCAGCCTCCCTAGATCATAGTAGAGATTCCCAAGGTTGCCGACTGTATTGAGAGTAGAGGTATGATCGGGACCGAGGGCCTTCTCGTAGCCTACCAATGCTCGCTGGTACATCTCCTCAGTCTCCTTCAGCCTCCCCTGGTTCCTGTAGAGATTCCCAAGGTTATTAACTGTATTAAGGGTGGACGAATGATCGGGACCGAGGGCCTTCTCGTAGCCTACGAGAGCTCGCTGGTGCATCTCCTCTGCCTCTTTTAGATTCCCCTGATTTCTGTAGAGATTCCCAAGGTTGCCGACTGTGTTGAGAGGGGAGATATGATCGGGACCGAGGGCCTTCTCGTAGCCTGCCAGTGCTCGCAGGTACATCTCCTCTGCCTCCTTCAGCCTCCCTTGAACAGAGTAGAGAACACCAAGGTTGTTGACTGTACCGAGAGTGGAGGTATGATCGGGACCGAGGGCCTTCTCGTAGCCTACCAGTGTTCGCTGGTGCATCTCCTCTGCCTCTTTTAGATTCCCCTGATTTCTGTAGAGATTCCCAAGGCTGTTGACTGTACTGAGAGTGGAGGTATGATCGGGACCGAGGGCCTTCTCGTAGCCTGCCAGTGCTCGCAGGTACATCTCCTCTGCCTCCTTTAGCTTTCCCTGATCAGAGTAGAGACTTCCTAAACTATCAAATGCTTTCCATATCCCAATATCCATGTTGTCACTCGACCAGTCCCCACGACGTACATAATCTGCGTGTGGAATAAGCCGTTGCTGCAACTCGGAATAATTTCTGTCACTTGATCTTGGTACACTGTTTCCAACAGCTATTAGTGCCAGTTTATTCAGCTGGGTCGAATTCGCATTTGTGTCTGTGCTAGAAAGATGAATGCACCAGTCTTGCACTACTGGGTGAATTGTATAGCTTCCAGCTTGTACCTTAGTATCAAGCAGAGAAAAGGCGATGAGGTTCTTGACGCTGGTCCTAAACGCGAGTCCGCTTGATATAGTCTTTGCAAGCCCAAATGGAACATATGAGCTATTGTGACTGCTTTTTATCAATTCATACCAGATATCTCGATTATCGAAGTGAGCGAGTAAAAGGAGCAACTTCGCTGCGTGCGGATCCCGCTTCTGGATCTCATGGTATGAGATCATCCATGTTTGTAGCAAATTACCCTGTTGATACTGGCGTTGCGGATTAGACTGCAGCTGTAACTCGGACCAAGAGTTTTGATAGTACTGCAAGTACTCGGTGACGCTAGTTCCAGTCTCACGCATAAAGGCCCCGGCGATAACGATTGCTAATGGAAGTCCGTCTAGACGAAAAGCAAGAGCAAGGGTATCTATCAATGTTAGTGTTATCACTAGGATCTGTAAATTAGAGAACTTAGTACCTGGATTACTCTCAAGTCCGTCAACGGTACCGCTAGCTGATAGACAGGTGCTTTGCAAGAGTAGTTGTATAGCATCCTTATAATCTAGTCTGTTGAGCTGAAAAGACCTCCCTAGCTCAGCCAACCGTTGGAGCCGAGATGTAAGAAGAATGGAGCCATGGTCGGCAGTAGGGAAGAATTCCGTGATATCATATACATCACTAGTAGCGCCATTAATGGGAAGGTATTGATCGATATTGTCAAAAACGATTAGCCAGCGCGAGTTTCCCTCTAACGCTAGCCAACGTAATACGTGCCTAGCTCGTTGCTCTACCTCCTCCTCATTAACCGCCTTATCATTCTGAGACTGTCCTGGTAATCGATGCAAGACGGAGCTCAAAGATTGCAAGAGTGTGCCTCGATCCTTGCCACTCAGCCAAAAAATGGCAGTGAAGTCGTCCTTGTGTGAGCGTGCGAAACGAATAGCTAGCTGTGTCTTCCCTATTCCCCCAAGCCCATGGAGAATCGCAACTTTGCGTGACCGGGGATCCGTGGGCCGTAAATACTGCCATAGCTGGTCCAACTCGTCTTGTCGTCCGACAAAATTTCCAATCACTGGCACAGCAGTAAGGTCCAACGGAACGTCAAAGCGATGAAGTAAATCTTTAATAACTCATCCAGAATCAGAAAAGGAGCAAAATTGCTTCAAACTTAGTCTCTTACCAGAGCCTGGTAAAGTATGTACCGTTGGGGCACTATGGATTTTATCGGTTAGGACAACTAGGAGAAGCTCCTTCGCATAGGCCGCCGCCACGGCTGCCGCATATCCTTGCCATTCTTTATTCTTGTGAGAGTCGGCGTAATTACAAATTCCCCGAACCACCAGACATGGAAAGTCATTCATGAGTCCCGCTGCCTCCATCTCCACACAATAAATCCCTAGGTCCCTGGCCAGCTGATCTCGCTGCCTGCCATCTTTCACTACTCGATTCGCGGACCCGATCAGTCCATAGTGTACAACTGGCTCTTCGCGATCTCGTGGAGGTCGTGGACACAATTTGGATCGATCGCAACTAAGACAGGTACTAGATGCGACATGATCATACTCCACTTGAAACAGACAATCCACTTGAGTTGGTCGCGCGAATGTTGTGGCCTTGCGAGGTGGAATTTTGGCTTGGATGTTGGAAACGAACTCAACTACTCGGCTTTCTTCTGTGAGATGATGAGCTTGGAGGGCAGCGAGAGCGGTCAGCAGAACTTTCGGAGGCCGATTAAGCATTCCCGTTCGCGTGAATCGCCCATCACTTAATACTTTACCAAGATCGTACTGAACCACCCCTCCAAACGTGTCGGATGGCTGGCTCACTACGATATCCCCGAGTCGAATGTCCGCATCGTTGCTGGGCACACCTCCAGCAATGCCAACCATTAAACCAATACGGATGGCGGGAAAGCTAGACAGCAGCTGCATCCCAACTGATGTAGCTGAAGTGTTGCCATATGCCCCACTCGGTAAACCAGCAATAACAACTTTGTGCTTCCCGACATTTCCCAAGATATATGTATTTTGATCGTTTGGCGGGCGCGGTAAACTCGGGTGTATTGCGTCCAACATCAGCTTTGCAGCTGCCATCTCAAGGGGCAGGGCGCATATCCATCCAACGGTGTAATCTTCGTGAGAGAGAGGCATCTTGGCTTCCATGATAGGCTATGTTGCAGTCGGGTATCTGCCCCGCGATAAGAAGCCAATTGATTAGAAGCAACGAAATGTGAAGGAGAGATATTGTGAAACGCTGGAATGATATCGGGTCGTTAGGAGAAAGTGGGGTCAAAGTGAGGCTGCACACAGACCCAAGCTGCCAGATGAGAGTTCACGTGTCGTACACTACGGTACCATACAGTAGAAGAACCGCTGTACTTGTGGCTTCCGCCAGCCCACATCACGGTACGCTATCTACCAAAGTCAAAGCAAGAATGGCTCATCACAAGCCGGCCCGGGCCGTTTCTGGGGTATTCCAGGCGTAGCAGCGTAGTAGCTTAAATGCATAGGACTAAGGCGAGGTCTACTGCGCTATTGTGCATTACTTCACGTGATAACTCGTGAGAATTCCATAGAATCGGATAGAATACTTATAATTAGGACCAGATAATGTCTTAAGCTCGGGACTATTGTCGGCCCGCCCTACCAGGGGCTGGCCCACCGCGGTACCTTACTGAGTCCACGTAGCGCGTTCATCCAAAACAACCAAGCCACTTTGTGTCGAGCAACATGGCACCAAACCTCAAACCCCCACAGCTCGAGTTGATTCATCATATGATCGAGAATAACTCACTGACGTCGTCGCAGATGGCCCATGCCGCCGGCTGCAGCAAACGCTCCATATTACACATTAGCTCTAACCTTACAGTATTTGGGAAGGTTAGGGCGCCACGAAATGGTGTTGGACGCCCGCGAAGTATTACGCCGTCCATGCTCGAAGCTCTTTGTGAACATTTGATGGAGAAGCCGACATTATATCAAGATGAAATGGCCCTTTTCCTCTGGGATGAATTTGGGAAACACGTGACCGTTCAAAGCATCAGCAGAGCGCTTGCTTCAGTCGGGTGGTCTAAGAAAGCAGCTCGACAGATTGCAAAGGAACGGAATGCAGATCTACGGGACTTCTACCTCCACAACCTATCTTCTTTCAAGTCGTACCATTTGGTATTCGTGGATGAGTCGGGCTGTGACAAAAGGGCTGGGTTCCGACGGACAGGTTGGTCACCTCTTGGTGTGACCCCTGTTCAAATTTCCAAATTTCACCGCGATAGACGCTATCAGATACTCCCTGCCTATGCCCAGGATGGAATCATCCTATGCCGGGTATTCCAGGGCGCTACTGATGCCGGTGTTTTCGAGGATTTCATTGAACAACTTCTTCAACACTGTAACCGTTGGCCTGAACCAAAGTCAGTCCTCGTTATGGATAATGCTTCTTTTCATCGTACGGAGAAAATCCAGCGGATGTGCTTGGATTCTGGCGTTAAGCTGATATATCTCCCTCCTTATTCACCGGATCTGAACCCAATTGAAGAGTTCTTTTCTGAGCTGAAGCAATTTATCAAACGCAAATGGAATGAGTATGAAGCAAACCCAAACCAAGGTTTCGATGCGTTTCTCGAGTGGTGTGTTGACGTGGTTGGCTCAAGGATATCGAGCGCAGAGGGTCATTTCCGAAATGCAGGTCTGATAATTGACGAGCTTTGATTTCTCGCCACGCGTATAGAAAATATGTCAAATTATATAGTCGCCCAAAAGAACCAGCCAGGTTAACCAATGCTCGTATTAAATATTCGCTTCGCTTCTCACGCATCCATTGTAGTTCTCCACCCAGTACACACACACACACACAATTCATTAACGCCCGGCGGCTGAGCCGAAAGGGCAACTAAAACTGATCTATCAATACACGTCCTAATATACATCTGCTGTGTCTCCTTCGAGCCCATACATGGATCCTTGCAGTATATGTCCTCTCAGCTGTCAATATCATAGAGATCCTTGTGCGTTAGAAAGTTGGTTAGTAGACTGGCTTGAAGGCGCTTCTTCAAGTGTTCAACATCCTATCTTCGGCAGTTGAAGCACGTCCACCATTTGTGGCACAAGGTGGTAGGTGTGGGTTGGTGAAGAGGGGGGGTGTCGTGTCGTTGTGTTGGTTAACGTGATTAGGTGGCGTCGAGTCGGCCCGTTGCGATCGCAAATCGTATTGAGGCTCGCACAGCTTCCAAGTTCGGCGTCCAATGCGGATTATCAGAAGGCGATTTCCCGCCCAGAAAGAAGGAGAGATTTCCTCGGTGAGTTTGGCTACATTGCAGCAGTGCTATTCGTTGTGTGGTCCACTTCCGACATCGGAAGAGGAAGTGTTCCACGGTCTCACTCGCTTGTCCACATGCACACTGATTCGTGTCTGCCACGTTGATCCGACAGAGATAGCTATTGAGTCTGGCCATGCCAGTCCGGAGTTGGGCCAGTACGCTCGCTTCCTTCCACGTCAATCGATCATACAGCTGTCGAGTGTGCTTTCCTGGCAGTGCTGCATCTACTCTTTTCACGTGTCTTCCTACGTTCTCCGGCAAGTTATTGCTGGGAGCCGCATGAGACCGAGCGATCTTCAGCGTTGTCGACTTCATTCTGGGGGCAGGTTTTTGCAGGGCGGCATCCTTCTGGGTCGCGGTCCTGGCTTGCCCTTTGGCCAGACCTAGCAGTTTATTGTCCGCGCTGGTAGGGACCCATAGGATATTGATGTGGTTTCCGTTTCTCCGCAGCCTTTTCATCAACTTTTACGATTGGCAGACGAACTCCTGGCCCGACTGTTGCCGAGGATTCCTCATCGTGAGGGCCGCTGCTTTGTTGCTCGTGAGCAGCGTGATCCTGTAGTCTTTCAGTCCCACTAGCATTTTCAATGTGTGTGCCAGTGCTGCTAGCTCCGCGGAGAACGGATTTTGCTCTAATCTTGGGCCTAGTGTCGTGGAAAAGGTCTTCAGTTTCAGCTTCCGATATCGAGGTGGCTGTTTCTTGATCGCCACCCCAAAACCTACGAGGCCGTTTCGTGCTGAACTGCTGACCGCAACTTGCAATGATCCGCCCGGTACGATGTGCGAGTGCGGCATTGCTTCACCATCGCTCTGTATGCGAGTCTCCCACGGTGCCAACACGAACGGATTGACGGTTTCCAGAGTTTCCATCTCAATGTTTTTCAGCGCGTCCGCTACCTGGTACAGCGGCGAACGGTGGTATCTCCTGAACTTCTTCATGCAGGCTGGACTCCTGCGGAGCGGGTGGGTTTCTGGAAGGGTGTGAATGTCCGTCCACATTTTCACGGCCCGTCTCCAAAAACGGTGTTGTGCGGTGGCAATGTGAGCCTCGGCCTCCGCTACGCTGGTCGCAACTGTGAGAAATGTCCCTACAATTGCTTGCGCTCCTACCCTTTGGACTCGATTGATCGGCCCACTGGCCTTATCCTTACAGGCGTGCATCCAGACACTAGAAGCATAGTCTACCACCAGAGCCACTGTCGATGTGAACAGCTGTCGTGCGGTTGCTGGCGTTAGGCCGCGAAGTCGCCGAAGCTCCATTGCTGCCTCCAGGCCTTTGGATGCCGCCCTCGCGATATGTTCCTTGTACTTGAGTCTTGTGTCCATAAGAACGCCCAATATCTTAACATGGTCTCTAGGCACAACGGTCTGTCCCTTGATGGTGAAAGGCTCCTGGTCCGTTTTGTGAGCTTTGGGAGCGAAGTGTATGATGGCGGTTTTTTCCGCCTCAAAAGTCGCTCCGCTTCTTTTCTCCCAGTCGAGTGCTTCAGTGATTATTGCTTCGATGCCATCCCGATTACTCTGGGCAGTCGGTCCGGTCACCCATGCGGTAAAATCGTCCACGAATGCGATTGCTCCTCCCTGGCTGTCGATCTGTCGTTGAACGAGGTCTGCGTTGAAGAAGAGGAATAGGATTGGAGATAGCGGCGAACCCTGTGGTAATCCAGCCTGGGGCAGGCTCTGGATCTCAGACAATTGCCCATTGATTTGAATGGTCGCCGTCCTTTCCGAGCAGAACGCCTCAACCCACCGGAGCAGGTTCTCCGGTATGCCTCGCGCTTTCATCCTTTGAAGCAATCGTTCTTTGCACACTCCGTTGTAGGCTCCTTTAACATCGAAGCTGATCAAGCTCAGCACTCGTCGGCCGCGCCACGCCGTATAGATTTGCTCTTGAAGGAGCACGAGTGCTTGCTCCGCGGACCGCTGCTTTCGGGCTCCGAAGTGGCTGGTCGGGAGCAAGCCGTACGTCTCCACCGCGTGTGAGATCCTTTCTGCAACCACTGACTCTAATATCTTGCCCAGCGTCGCGAGGAGTGATATTGGTCTCCATGCTTTGGCTATGTTGTAGTTCTCTTTGTTCGGCTTTTTGAGCGGTATGATCTTCGCGTGTCTCCACTGCCTTGGCAACGTGCCTCCTTCCAGCGATGCTTGGAAGAGATCGAGAACCCTGTCTTTGACCGTAGGCCACGTCATCTTCCAAACGATCGCCGGCAGACCGTCTTCGCCCGGCGCTTTCCAAGACTTCGCCGCTAACAGTTGCCGCTCTACCTCTTCCATCGTGATCGCTGGCATTTCTACCGGTGCTCTTTCTGGTCTCGTCCCTTCATCGTCAATAATGTCCGGCAGAGGCGGGAAGAACGTGGTCAGCAATTCTTCTGCTTGCTCCTTGTGATCGGTGGTGGTCGTTTCGTTTGCTCTCAGGAGCTGTGGGACCTTTCCAAACGCTGCGTCGTCTCCCGACTTTAGGTATTTGGCGGCTTTCCATATGTTATCGTTGTCTGCAAGGAATTCATTCCAGTGCTTCTTCTTTTGTTGCCGGATAGCATCGTGATAGTGCTTCGCTGCGCCTTGGGCCATCTCTTCTAGATGGGGGACCTTTCGTCCCGCCCGTCGCTCCGAGCGTGCGTGATTTCTCCAATATGTGTATACTTGACGTAGCTGTGTCAAGTCATCTGTCCACCATCGCTTTGCGTGTGGTGACGGTTTGGCCTTCGGTGTCAATGCATGCACCGCATCCCAGACCGCGGACATGAGTTGATCGGTTTTCTGCTGCACGGTGCCCTCCAACGGAGTGGCGGCTAGGGTGTTCGCAATCCTAACATTGATTTCTTTCCATGGAGCATTTTTCAGCAGGAGTCGTTCCTGACGCGTTGGGGGCTTCCATGGGACGTCGAATACGGTCTCAATGGTGCAGTGATCCGACCCGTGTCCCGTCCCGAGTATGGCACACTTAACCATGGAGTCTGTCAGGTTCTCCGAGGCCAGGACGAGGTCGATAGTCGACTCACAGTCCCCATGCTGTCCTGCGCCATGCCATGTCTTTGTGCCTCGTTTGAGTAGACTGCTGAGTGCATATTCATTCATAAAGTCGATGATTGGGTCCGCTTCACCTTGTCTTACCAAAGACACGTCGTCTCCTCCCCAGAGTTGATCATGACGATTAAAGTCACCTACAATTATGATCTCCAACGCTGTGCCTGTGTTTCGTCGTACCTCTGTGATCGCTTTGCGTAGGTGATCGCATGTTTCGAGCAATGCCGCCACATCTCCTCCCGCTACGTAGACTGATGCCATAAATATTAGCCGCTCGGGTAGGCGGATGACCGCCGCGGTCAGATCCGGCGACTCGATTGATAGTTGCTCCGCTTCCACATCCTTATTGATCCAAAGCATACTTCGGATTGCCCATCGGCCTTCCCTCCAGGTGGAGGGGACCAGTTTCGTCCATTTGTGGTGTCCCATCGGGGTTGTCAAAAGCCGGCCTTGAATTCTCCTCGCTTGGGGTTCCTGAATCGCTAGTGCCACAGCCCCCTGGGTTTCTTCGTCGTTCATCAAGCTGTCGAGTACCGCTCCCTGTTTTCTCACATTCAGTTGGAGTATTCGGAGAGTTTTATTCATGACGTGACGGATAGAGCTTCCGGCAGTTTTTGCTGTACGATTCGTGTGGGCCTCCGCATGGAACGCACTTTAGAACCGCTTGGTCGCAGTTATTATGGCGATGGCCCTCCGTAGCGCATTTTGCACACCTCTGACCGTTCTTACACTGGAACGCTTTGTGGCCAATCTCCTGGCAGTTGTAGCATTGCATCGGTCGTGGTCGATATTCGAAGGTGCTGGTCACGCCTGACTCTCCCCCAGCATGAAAGAAACCATCAGCTAGGAGCCTCCGTGCATCAATACCTTTGGTGAGATAAACGACCATTGATCCATAGGCCTTCGTGCTCTCCTTTCCGCTGAGCCATGCGATCTTAGCCACGCTAGCTTCGTTCTCCTCGCTGAAGGCTGCCGCAGCCCCGGCTCGGATCTCATCATTTTCATCCAGGACTGCAGCTCTGTTGACGCTGTCAACTTTGATCGGGTAAAGCTCGTCACGGAGTACTCGGGCTCCGGCACCAATCTTAGCCTCCGCCACTTCTTTGACCAGCCGGTGTTCAGTTTCATCCCGACAGGCAATTCTGATCCGATTTGTGTTCTTTGGATCCACCGTGACAGCGCGACAGCGCCAATGCATGTGGTTTTCCATCGTCCGAATTTCTGTCTCGACCGCTGCACGGATAGAGCCTGGGGACATCCTTTCATTTCCATTGTCTATCATCTTTGAGGTGTCTATCGTGCAATATAGCGTGTCGGTGAAGCTAGTCGGTGTCGTGTTCGCCGATGAGAGGGTCCGTATGTTGCTTGGGTAGCTCATTGGGGGAGTACGGGCGACATCTGCATAGGACGGAGATCCCGAGGCGGGGCCTGACGGGTTGATTGCCATGCGCAGAGAGTGAATTTCGCGAAGGATCTCATCGTGGCCGTTCTGAGAGCAAGGCTCGGAGAGGGCTTGCGGTGTCGGGGGTCTGTCTGCCAGGGTCTGTAGCTCCTGTCGGACTTCTGCAAGGGTTGCGCTGAATTCCTCTTTGATTTTTTGCAGCTCTTTCTTATGCAGATCATCGCGTCGTCTAATCTCTTTCCTTAGCTTCACAAGCTCTTTCAAGAGATCGGTAGCGCTCAAGTCCTCGCTCTCCGTCGAGGAGTCGTCTGAAGATACTGCGTCGTGCTGGGGTACTGATTTGCCTTGACGTCCCTTTTTCGATTGGGCGCGTGTCTTTCTCTGCTCGGTGTCAATCTCTTGCTCTTGAGCGTAGTTATTCGGTGGTCTTGTGGTGCGTCGCGGCCTCGCAAATCTTGGGGGTGAATCTTCGTGTTCGTCGCGGTCGGGCGGCTCAGGGGTTCGCGTCTCGGCCCGTCCCGCCATTTTTCTTTTTCGCGTCGCTCACGATATAGTCCCAAGTAGTTTTCGAATTCAGTTTGACCTCAGAAAATGATACAGTACGTTCAGAAAAATCTTTGTGGAATGCTCCCCTATACCGACTATGGTACAGTAGTTTTCGAATTCAGTTTCGCTGATACGTACAGTCTCCACGCGTCTGTGATTGTTACCTCCACCCAGTACAGTACCTAATGTCCTTGACAAAACGCCGAGCAATACCCACTTGACACCACGCGCCTTGAAATAATTAGGATCTTTGTCTTCATCAATCTGCGCCAAGTTTAGTCCATCCTCTAGGGCTACGTCGCACGCCTTTCTGACCTCGGATTTCAAAGCCTCATCGCCCAAACGTGACTGTTGCCAGTTGCTGTATTCTCTCACAGCAACATCGAGAAGTCCAGAAATATGAATAGCCGGAAAGTCGGCTGAAGAACTAGCAGTCTCTGGGTGTGAAGAGGATGACAGCCCGGGTGCTTGTAAAGCTTGTGTTGGAAGCACATTTGTGATATCAATGGGAGGGCAGCTTGTCTCCGCGGTGGATCGATTATTGGCTCGCGGTCTATCGAGCCGTTGTCTCTCTGCTCTATAGATTTGCTCGCGAATCATACCAGGCACATCTTCATGCGACTGTAAAATCCCGCCGCTCTGCACACACTTAACCAGACTCTCCAGCTGATCTCGGTAGAGCTTATAATGCTTCTTTCCATAAGGATCCTGCCAGCAGTGCGGGCCTAGTTCACAGGACCCGGGACAACGCATTAAAGCATATACCTCTTTCCGGGCAGGCGGCTCTCCTAAGGCTACTTCCTCAGCATAGGTCTGCCGGTCTCGTTCTTGAAGCATCCGCTGGGTAGCAGACGACGGGCCTCGTTTATCAGTGGTCCTGCCACTTGCGTTTGAGTTCGGAGTGTTCTCAATGTAATTGAATGAGACAACCAGTCTCAGTTTCTTGCCAGCAAGAAAAAGGTCTCCCCAATCCAAAAGTTGTTTTTCTATAGAGGCCCAATCAATGTCGGTTCCATCAAACCTCAGAGTGAGGCCTTTCTGCCGAGTGGCGGATACGACAACAGAAGTGTCATCCGATTCAAGTGTTCGACGAGGATACTTTCGTACAAGTAGCTCCTTTAGCTTTGGTTGCAAAAAGAGCCTCCAGTGAAATCGAGGAGCTAGAACCAGATTTTGCTCTGTGTCTTTCGCCACCGTCCTGTTATTGAGAGTGACCTTCCACTCGATCAAGTAGTGGATACAAGTCGGTGGATCCTCGTCATATGTTCGACCTTCCTCCCAATCACCGAACTGGAGTAACGGAAGACTATTCTTTTGCGAAGCAGTTTGTTGTGGGGAGGCATAATCGATAGGGGAAATGGGATCGACGTTGATGCTGCCTAAGTCGGACGGGGAGGTGGGTGACCAAGAGGGGTTACCAGGTGTTGGGGCATAGCCAGGTGTTGGGGCATAGCCAGGTGTTGGGGCATAGCCAGGCGTTGGTGCATATTGTGATGTATTGTCCCACGGGTCAAGCGACATGCTTCGTTGAACGCCATGTTCATAATGGCAGAGAGAACTTCGAGTCATTTTCTTGGGGCTACTGTAACGACAGACTAAGGGTGAGTGATGGTTAGTTGAGGCTTACACCATCAGGCGCCGTTGAGAGCGCTGTTCGCCTGCAAACAACCTCCAACTGGTTAGGATAGTCGTTGGGTGCTAGTCTCACTTGTTGAGGTTCTCTGGGCCAAAGAGACGCCCTCGAAAGTGATGACTAGCACACCTTGCAGAGAAGGAGGAAGAGAATGAGAACGATGTCTCCCAGCAGATCTACAACTCACTTACTTGGCACAAGGTGGCCTTCCCCACATGATCTGCAGCCAGTCATCCACCAAAGGATTCCATGGAATTCCATGAGTTCTCTGGTCATACGCAGTAACGTAATATTACGTAGCCTATTACTTGTATCATACACGGGGCATTTTACTACTCCTCTCAGTTTAATGCGGCCGGCTCATTAAATGATCTGTGCTAAGGCCTTGGCAGTGGGGCCGAGAAAGAGAGTGTAAGTATGTATCGGTGAAGCCGATTTCGAGAATGACTGTATATGCACTAAAAACACCAACGTCTAGTGATTGAAGGATATGGCTCGAGTGAGGCGGTAGAAAGAATAGGATAATCTTATTATCCTCACAGTATTTGACGAATTCGTATGTAAGATGCGAGCCGAATTGGTCACGTACTAATAGACGATATGTGCCCTTAGCCGAATCCTTGGTAAGCTTATTGAATAGCTATATCCACTGAAGGGCAAGGACGTTATTAAGATAGCCAGTTTCAGTAACAGCAATCCTCTCATCGCCTACTATCTCAAACCACCGCTGTGGAAGGATCTTAATCAAATGTCCTCTGAGGAGCGAATGAAGGAAAATCTGCGGCTCCGTGTTTTCACAGCTTCTGTCTCCTTTTATGACGGCCCCCCGAGACCTTTTTGATAAAACGAGGAAAATAAAGTTGAAGATGCTCTTTGTTCAGAAATGGTTTGAGATTTGCTTTCCTCTTTAACCTATCTCTAAATCACGTAGATATATCAACACGCTGGGGATAGAACCGGAAGAATGACATCACTCAACCTTATTGGTGATGAGTGATTACTTACTTGGCCCAGTAATATTTGTAAACAGCGGTAACGTTAGTCCCTCTACGCTAGATTCACAAAAAACCTGCTAAGATTAGCTGTTCAAACCTGCCAAAGGGTTTTACCGCTTTCATCATCCGCATTTTTCTCGTTTCCTTCCTCAATCCAAAAATACATCGTTTTGTATGCAATAAAAGGACCAACATCATTCAAAAGGTCACCAAACCCAGGGGTTCGCTCACCATAGGATATCTCACAGGAGCAAGTTTGAATCTTTCTCATGGAGGATGGCATATGTGCGTTGTTTACTTTCTGAAAACGAACCCAGCCAAAACCCTACATGAGGGGCATATTTGATGGGGCAGGCTAAATTATTACTCCGGTCACTATCTGGAGTTTCCTGACAATATTTCTATGAGGCGTTGAATCAGATCACCCCTCCACCGAGAATGGCATACGGAGTTTACTGCGCCTCTAGGTTTATCGGAGCTACGCATTCATTTATACAATACATGCCATAGTTGAGACAGACGTGTGTAGAAGTGTGAGATGAAAATTTTTCTAATATAAATTTAAACCCGATGATTGCGGGCGCTTCCTTACATCATGCAACATTATCCCTCCAATTCAGAGATGGCGGCCTGTTCTAGGCTGTATCAAACATACTCCGCAGAGCCTCCACAGTACAATAAACATGGTACGTCTTTTTATCCAGTCTGGCAGCAGTGGATCGGGTTTAAGAAAATGCAGACTGGCAGAGTGCTGAACGCTTCTGGGAGATGAGAGACTCTTGGTCATTCTTCCGAAAACTTCGAGAAGCATTTCGTATCGATCGAGCATTTCTGAAATCACGTCATTTGGTCACATCCACCCAGGATCTGCAGTACCGAAAGTACATCCTATCTCAAGCGATGATTAATGTCAACGCATTCCGTCGACAAATGAAGAGAGGCGAATTCAGTTTCGAAGCGATCAGCAAAAGAAGAGCTAGTATTTACGGAGCCTATGCTCAAGCCATGAATGAGATTGAAACCTGGACGGGTAAGTTGACATAGATTCAAAACTGGGCAGGACATTGATATGTACTGGAATAGATTATCGATTCCCTACCACTGCTTTCATTGGCGAATGATCAATATGGGGAGGTTATAATTGTTGAGATGGAAAATTGTCCAAGTAGATCAGAAAACTAGGGAGATTCTGGCGATGTCGATACATGCCTTAGATAATAACAGGTGGCCCCTCTGGTAAACCAATGAAACGGCTCATTGTCACTGCTGAACATGTTTTTGGTCATTTTATGCCCGACCTGAAGTAAGGTGCTTTTTAGGGAAGATTGTCTTATAAGGGGGACTTGCTATACAGCAGTATGGTGGCGTAAATTCTAGCCAACGAAAAACCCAACTCACAGGGTGGGAAAAGGCCGGCAGTAATAGATCCTCATCCCCGGTTCCCGTCCCTGAGCCAGATCTGGAGAAGATTGGAGATTATTCGTGAATCCTATTTGCCATCGAGGAACCCACAAATATGGTAGAACTGAGGGAACAGACCAGATTTTCTTAGAATAGGTGAAGCACCTAGAGGGATGTGTGATGAATCCTGACCTCCCTTCGGCGTTCCTGGGTGTTGTAAATCAAACGGATGCTTAATTCTTCTTCTTGATGGAATACATGGGGATATATATACACCATGAAGTCCAAGTTGATTTCCAATCAGCTTGGTTCTCCCTATACATAGAGCAGGAATTATTTCCGACGTTGCGGCTTCGTTCCTGAGCAGCACCTGCCTCATATCACAACACTGGGGCCAACAGGCCTGTTGTTCGCGACGATATACCCTGCTCCCCGAAACAGCATTGGATTCCTGGGACCACTACCGACTTTAGCAACTGTTAAATGAGCCAAATAAGCTTGGCTCCGTGAGGTCCATACGCTTTCTAGAACGGCCCAAAGGCCTCATAAGGCATACACATCCCTAGCAACTCCCCGTTTTGCGCGTCGTGCTTAGTAAGAAGAATAATAGTCCGTCTAATTAACGTAATTCACGGGCGAGTGACTCACACAGGCGAGTGGCCCACCCCAAAACACCATATTAAGTGCCTTCTTTTAGTTCGCCTATATTTCGACCACCAAAGGTTTATTTCGATTAAGAATTAAGATCATGCATTTACTACCATACAGGAAGAGCTTAACTGCAATTTTAGCTATATATTAAGATGATTTAGATAGGTTACCATAAATTACGCTGTATTTTTGTCCCTCAAGACTTAATTATATATATCTCCTTCAGTACTATGATCAGTTCTCCTAAAGTTTGCCAGTGAGCTAGAGATAGTATTAAGTCTCTGACCCCTTAATATTCAACTATAAATTCGTCTGGTTGTTAAGATATGAAGTTGTAATTTATCGCATTTAGTATGGTGTTTTGGGGTGGGCCACTCGCCCGTGTGAGCCACTCGCCCGTGAATTACGTTAATTATTCTCTTTGTAAATATTGCGTAGGTCATACTGTGTGGAGCCAACAAGTTTCCTTGCTAGTGAGTTACTGGATGCTTAAAAACCATGAGCAATTTCCTTATACAAGAGAAAAATCGTTTATGCGACCACAGTTCTGCAGGCTGATTTCGATTACCTGTAAATTCGTTGCCAAGGTACACACTGAACTCATGTTTTGCAAGAATGTTGACTCAATGTTGAGCGGACACCAGGAAAGCAGTGGGCGAACGCCTATTAAGTATGAGCCACGCTGTCGACGGTGAGTATTAACTTCAAACCACTGAGTGGGTGAAACGTTCGCTTGTTAATCTTGCATACAAGCCTCAAGGCAGTGAGCCACTTGCTCCTCATCAAAAGACTGTTAGTGTAGGATACAAAGATGACCGTTGCTCAACATTTGTCATAGGTTTTGTGGATTCAATATGGAAGCCAGAATATAAATACTGCCACTCTTCTCCAGTCAACTCTCTTCCCAAAGCCAACTCACTCTGATTCACCTACGGGATATTCAAGAATGGCAACCAATCACGACACCGACGCAAGCGAGGAGGATAGCCTGATGGCTCAGGCGAACGAGCAGCTTGAACGCGAGCTGCCACAGAGTCAGAAACCCACACTCGCTACATACCGAGCGCCCCGACGCGTGGTGTCTCTCGGCATCTCCCCCAGCTACGTCAAAGACTGGGTGCCAGCAGATGCTTTTCGGGAATTGTATCAAAATTGGTACGTGCTGGCCTCTTCCGCGGGACAAACGCTAATCAACGCAGGAAGGACGGCATCATGGAAAGATTCAATCTTGACCGTCAGAGCTTCCAGCCATTCGTGGAAGACTACAGTGACCATCTCTCAATCATTGTTCCCGATCAAACCCTTGCCGACCAGCCAGCGGAGCGTGAGAATCGACGCGCACTGGGCTTCATTCAGTACGAAAAAAAGACAGGCAGAATCACGATCGCAAATCCATGCATGCAACTACCCATCAATGCTCTAGCTATGGGATTCTCAACCAAAGATGTCCACGGTGCCCACGACCATCTTGTGGGACGTCACGGCGAAGGTCTCAAGCTGGCGGTCCTGGTTCTCTCTCGAGATAGCTACAACGTGAGTATCACCGCAAGTGGTTGCAATTGGAGGTTTGACATGCACACAGACGCATCGGTTTCTTGTACTGTCGCACCGTCTCAGAAAACCAAGTCGATCGAGTGGACCGATCCTGCCTTCGACATGGCAAGCCTACGATACCATGTGGGGAGGGACGTGGCAGTGGTGATCGGCGTGAGGCGGGCCAAGTCAGGCCAACCAGTCGCGCTAGACGCGTTTTTGAATTGGCTCCGTTTGACGACGATAGACGTTCGCGGGCTCACCTACCCTGCCGGTATCATTTCCACACCACATGGCGACTTAATTCTTGATCCCCAGCTGCGAGGTCAGCTGTATCACAATGGGATCGCCTTGACCAATTCTACCGTGGGCGGCGCATTCCTCTTCGCGTACAATTTTGCCTCTTGGACCACCTGCCGCGACCGTTGCGGACTGGCATCCTGGTGGGATGCGGCTCGCCAAGTGCAACGGATATGGGAGGAAGCTCTACGCAAGCAGGAAGACATAATCTTGCCTCTACTTGTCGATCTCCTGCGGAGGCACGCCCGTTCTGCCGACGCCGAGATGATAGGCCCTCTTTTAGAGCCACCGGCGGTGCGTCGGATCTGGCAATACCTGCTGCGCGAGTCAGCAGATAAGGAATTCTTTTACAGCGAGAGGAGCAATGATCAAGTACGTACTCGGGTATAGACAGTGTCGCATTTTGATAACTGATGCAGATAGATCGCGAACACCATCCGGGACAGCCTCGGCAAGCGCCCGGCACGCCTGCCGGACACGCTGTGGCAGATGCTGCGTGCCCACAGCCCAATCCGGACCGTCGAAGAGGAGCAGCAAGAGCTGTTTAAGGATGCAAAGCCCTGCACCATCCCGGATACCACATTCGCGAGAGCAGTCGACCGAGCGCTGCGAGCCTGCTTCGCTCTGCTGAGGTTCACCGACCATATTCAGGTAGTCTACATCCGAGGCTCGACCGGCAAAGTCGACGTATACTTTGACAAGGGACAGGGTACGCTCAAGATACATTGCCGATGGTTGGACTTTGCTTGTATGCACCACCGGTCATTCTGCCGGCCCTGGTCTCCGAGCAACCTTGCCGACACAAACGCCCCCTTTTTCTGTTGCCATGTGGTGGAAGAGCTCTTGGTTCGATCGATTGCATCCATGTTCAAAGCACATCCGACANGCAATGATCAGGTGTGTATTACGCCACAGAATGTTTCGCGTCTTGATAACTGATGCAGACAGAACGTGGACACCATCCGGGACAGCCTCGGCAAGCGCCCTGTCCGCCTTCCCGACACGTTGTGAACATGCTGCGTGCCCACCCTATCCGAACCGTCGAAGAAGAGCGACAAGAGCTGTTCAAGGGCGCGAGGCCCTGCGCCGTCCCGGTCACAACATCCGCGAGAACAGTCGACGGAGCGTTGCGAGCCTGCTTTGCTCTGCTGAAATTCACTGACCATATTCAGGTAGTCTACGTCCAAGGCTCGACCGGCAAAGTCGACTTATACTTTGATAAGGGACAGGGTATGCTTAATATACATTGCCGATGGTTGGACTTTGCTTGTACGCACCACCGGTCGTTCTGCCGGCCCTGTCTCCGGGGTCGGCGCCCCATTCTTCTGCTGTCATGTGGTGGAAGAGCTCTTGGTTCGATCAATTGCACCCATGTTCAAAGCAAATCCGACGTCTCGACCAGCAGAAATAAAGTTCATGGATTGGACGGCGACTGCGATACCTGCCACACAGCATCAAGTTGAAGCCATATCCCGGGAGCATTCTGGTCAGTTGGGAAGACAATGAGGCAGAATCCTTTCGCACGCTCGGCTCCAGCGGCCCGGAATACCACGTTGTACTTCATGATGACAATTGTGCAAATGCTGAGACGGCGCTTCTCCACGATAAAGCAGGTAAGTGGTCATTAATCATCCAGGGAACAACGCTGACCCTTTGGTACAGCCCTCCCCAACGACGTGGTGCCCTGTGGTTGCCGCCAGCAGTTCGCTCGTCAGACGCACCGAATGTGCCTCTTTACCGGTCTGTCGCACACATCGACATATTCTGCCATGATTGCGCTGAACGAGGATCGAGCTTTTTATGGGGTGCCGTCTGATCGACTATCGCCGGGGTTGTATGAGAGGGTGGAACCCCTCTCCTAGTAGACTATTCGGAAAGCGGCTTCGCTTTGCGCTCTGCACCATATGAGGATCTGACAGGAAGGACTGGGTGAGCCCTGTTACCAGAAGATAAGCGGTATGATCATGATATGGAGCCTAGCACATTCTATGCTAACATCGCACGTATAGGGGCCTGTAATATCCCTGGTCATTTCTTCTAATGTCCAGTCTCCATCTGATACTCTATCCGCCCGACAGTGGCCCATATCGAGATAGCCTTGCGTTCACGTTCGGTTCAGAAGTTACAACCGGCCAAATTCATGGTGCTGGCCAGACGAGCTGACCGACACTGCGTCCTGTGCTAGGTGCTCGTCTGCGGCGCGATGACACAGACTGCACCAGTCAACGATCTAACCCATTCTGCCGAGGGCTATCCGTGGTATCCGTACGTCCCATCACTCAAGCCACGTGTATCTGCGAGTCTTCACGTGCTGGGTTAATATTTGCTCTCGTCTTCGGTGAGCGGAGCAGGACATCCGGAGCCTCGTCGCTTCGGCTACATCGAGTAAGCTCTCATAGGAGAACACGTCCGACATCAAGCTTCAGCCATCTTCCACGCAGCTCGGATGAGCTAACCCCCAGCACTGTTTACGTCGCAGGATCACTCTCGTCCATCTGCTTTTCATTGTCTCCTAAACAAAACAGACAAGAGACAGCCGATGCCTCGTCGTTGGGAGACTGCAGTTCTTTTGCATGGCAGAGAGGCAGACACCATCTCATTCGTATAGGATCGTTGTAAAGATGTCGAACCTCAGGGCCTACCTGACCGAGCACACTTTTACTCACCCAGGGGTTATCGTCCGCGAGGAAGGATGTTGGTAATGAAGACCTCAAGCTGCGAGGATTCGTCATTACGGCACCCAATTGCAGGGTTCTCTCGTAATTTCACAGCTCATCCTATGGGCGCCTGCTACATCAGAGTGTGGGGCCAGGCCCTGATATTCCGGGAATGAAAATCTGGCTGTTTTCAGGTCAACTCGGTTACGTCTCTACATAACCCATCTCTTGTTCAGATGACCTGTAATAATCGCTGGTTCTTCTTGGGTGTTGAAATATTTAAACCAACGTTGAATTGTTTAAACGGGTGTTGAAACAGTGTTGAAGAGAATCAACCCGACCTGGTCACACCTCGATTGCACCCGTGGTTCGCCTTTTCGCCAAGCTGCGCCCACCCTTTATCGAAATTTCCCTTTTCTGCCAAGCGTTTTTCTTTTACAAACATTCATTGTCAGCTTGACGTCTACGAAAGCTTAGAAATAATCGCTCTTACCCATCTCATTCACTCAGTTTCGTTCGGAATGGCGAATCGCATTACCAAGACCCCTACCTTTCGGCCGGGCCGCGATACCGCCAAGCTAGCCAAAGCTCTCGAAGATGAGGCTAAAGCAAAAAAACCCCGCTCGTCATGAAGATGCAGCTGAATGCCAGTCTAAGTCATCTGGGTTAATTCAAATGGAGCCTGAAAGCCATAATGGCAGCAAGACCATACACCAATCCGATCGAGAAACGGAACTGGTCGATTCTTCACCATACAGACTGCACCAGTCTACAAGACATGCGAGCCACCGGTTAGTAAAAAGGCGAACGTCCATGTATTTCTGTTCCTTAATTCTGGTTAATGTTGCTCAGACCTTCGGAGCAAGTGAAGCAAGGTCCCTTCAAAGCTCTATCCAGAAGAGCGAGGCAGATGGAACGAGGCAGAGAGTGGGAAAGCAAGGCTTCTAAGCGGCTGCTCAAACGAGATCTGGCTGGTGAAATCGAAATTCTGAAGAGCGAGATGGAAGATCTTAAACAAATAGTCATCTCTCTACAGCCCCTCCTGTCTGAGTGAGGCAGAGGGAAGCGAGTCGCTTTCCAAGACGAACTCAGATAAATAAGCCCAATCGAGGATTTTCTACGCAATGAAAAACTTCCCTTTCTTCTAAATGTAACAGTGAGCTTTTTCGCAAAGCATACTCTCCGGTAAATTCATTCATCTATTCATTGCCTAAATACTGAAAGTGAAAAATGATTGTCAGTGGATTGCTAGTGTTCCAGGCAGTCTCCGATAAAAGACGGGCGCAACCCATATGGTACATATGACTGAAGTTGCTGCTCCCACGTAACTTCTGGCAATAGTTGCGTTGTCATGACCCATCGAATGCACTTCTCCACGATAAAGAACAATACCTTGGAAATGACTTTGGATGAGGAACAACGCAAGTATTCGAACAGCCGAGGTCTGGATTGGCCGCGCTCTGCTACGAAGTACGACACTCGTAGGTATTTTCGCCGAGTACTTATTACACCTAGAAACCATACACATCCAGGGGAATGCAGGGGAGCTTTACAGTAGAAGAAACACACGAATGCCATGTCCATGTCCAATTGTCCAATTCTGCACTGACTGTAGCACTGTACTATTAACACCATGCCGAATGTCACTTAATAGAGACTGAATGCATCTGAGCCATTGAGAACTCCTGTCCTGAACGAGATGATGTGGGCGTTGCGACAATTCTGGGAGGCAGTTGAATAGAAAAATGAATGAACAGCAGCTCTTTGGTCTAACAAAGGCCCTTGGAATTAAATTTTCTATTCACTCTACCTAATTGACAATCCGGGGCTGCCATACTATTGGGAAACGCACGTGACCCAAATCTTTTGGTCTTCCGGCAGGACTACTCTACGGATCGCTCTTTGCAGATCGCTTTGTGTACCATGGATCGTACCTGGAGAACTTTCCGAATACCAAGTGGGTCTCACCGTTGAGTCGTGATGGTCAACTATTGTGATGCGTTAACCGTCAACGTTTACAAAATCCTTTCTTAGTAAATGGGTGCTGCCTTCTCAGCGCCCCCACCCACGGCTTAGTACTTCGGATGCGCGGAGGGCGGAATCCGCAGAAAGTGGAGTCCAAAGATCTATTGTGGCAAATTCTACTTGCGAGGACTATTAATCAGTCCGGGCTCGACGGATGATGCATACTGTAGTGTATCGCCATCCTTAGTCCACTAGCAAATCACTTCTGGAAAGCAACAAGATCTTGTCGGGAATCCAGACCGACCAACATATGCATTCGCCCACGGTCAGGAGAAACATCATCATACACCTCATGATGCATGGAGCTTTCTTGAGTTCTGTTTTATATTCTGGGTGTCTTGCTATTGATCCACTTGATCATCAAGAACGGCTGGCCCAAGTTCGGTTTTATAACAAGCCCGGGTGCTTTCAGGAAAATGAAGGGGAGTTAGGCATCTACGACCGGGGAATTTCAACTTGCCATGTCCCTAGTGAAGGCTATTCTGAGTCTTTACGAATAGAATACATCAAAAGTGGATGCTACCGTAGGTTTCCCAGTCCTCTTTACGCCTTTCAAGGGCTAAACGACGTTATGCGCAGTACATATTTTCGATGATTTATTTTGTCTTTCACCCCCCGAGATTGCGTATTCGCATGCCTGCTTTTCTGGCCTGGGAAGAATAGGGTGTGGAGCTCCTTTGCCCTTCTCTTTGAAGTGAGCCAAATCAGGTGATGGCAAGGTAATTGAGTGTCAATATTTTGGGGCTGGGTTGGGATGCGTGTCGAATGTGGGCGGGATCGTCTTATTTGGTGAGAAGCTCGGTAGGCTCCGGAGCGTCATCTTCGGTACAAATAGTCAAGAACAAATCCATGCCTCTTCGCTAGCGAGATTGTTGTCTATTGCCCATAGCCAAATCATCATTCCAGTTTTGCCAGGGCCGAATGGGATGACCTATGTGGTACTGGCCCTAATGTACACACCCTCACTAAAGAATTGAGACTTTTCAGCAGCAACATTGAACAGACCATCGTGGAAGATAATCGATAGCTGAGAGGACATATACTGAAAGGATCCGAAGGAGATACGGTATGTGCAGATTGGGACCTGTATTGATAGATCAGCGATAGTTGCCCTTTCGGCTTAGCCGTCGGGCGTTAATGAGTTGTGTGTGTAGAGGAAATTCAATAGCAGATAAAGCCGCAACAAGGCTAGATTCAAGTTCCACAGAAGGGCACGGTAATCATTGTTAAACACAACTTAACGAATACATTGGTTTACAGGATGGGGAGTGCTAATTACCTGAATCAACGATCCCCATCCCTTTTTGTCGGGACATATCCTCCAGTCAGAATAAGCAAAGACATATTGTACGTAATCTTGCTCAGCTGCGGCTCCCGCCGCACAGATTCAGGGGCATTGGACGAGGACCTGGAATACACATCTATCATACACGAATCAATCAACTTTTGCTTTAGCATAAACTGTCCACTTAACTGTGTACACAGTACCTAGCTGATGATACCAACACTTTTAGCATCAGCTTGTTGCCACCGGCCATTTTCTTCCTCGCATATATGTACAGTCGCTAGAACAAGTCAAAATTTTGATGGCCACAGAATGGTTTGTCGCATGGGATGGATTCCAAATATGATCTCTTCCTGGCTGCCGAACCAAAACTATAAATGCACATACACGACACCCAATGACTCTCGCACGATACAACCCTTTTCCTACTGGACAGGTATTCTATCACATAGAGTGAATCTGTTGGTATCACCAGCTAGGTACTGTGTACACAGTTAAGTGGACAGTGTTATGCCGTAAAGCAAAAAGTCAATTGATTCAAAAATGTAGATAGATGTGTGTTCCAAGTCCTCGTCCAATGCCCCTGAATCCATGCGGCGGGAGCCGCAGCTAAGCAAGATTACGTACAACATGTCTTTGCTTATTCTGACGGGAGGATATATCCCGACAGAATCAGACATGCACCTTTTACTGGCATTTTTCACCTCCATCTCGGTGGTTCTTACCGGGACACTTCAGATAATGGACCATGAAGACCGATGCTTCGTGTATTCTACGGAGATCTTCGACTGTACTGGGATCTCAGAGCCATTTGCCCCTCTGAATGGCACTTCTTGCTCCAGTAAGACGGCCATTGTGGATGAAAAGCTAGTACTAACGGATCCCAGATCTGATTACAGCGCGGAACGACACCAAATCCGAGTCCGATACAGTCAAAGTCAATTTATGTATCTCTTCCGGACATTCCGCGTGGGTAGAAGTGTATCGAAATGGTCTACTCTACTTTCATAATGACGAAAGAGACGAAGCGAGCTGCAAGGCGGACAACGCTCTACAAAAGGGTAGCTTATGCACCGCTGCCAGCAGTTCACGGACCTTGATGCCAAGCAAAAGTCCCCAGCCGACCTCACTTGACGCCACATCCTCCCGAGTCTCAGTTGCGCCAACAGTACCGACCACGATCCTTTCGAACTCGAGCTTTTCAAGTTCAACAGCGGATTGTTAGATATGAAAACATTGACCTATCGGGCCATCTTGCTGCGTGAGCAGTCGTTTTGTCTTTCGAAACTGAGTTCACCTGGTGGCTGTGGATACAGATTGGATACAGATGATCTGTGGATTTCTTGCTATGTCTTGCACCCCCCGTGTCCCCAATTGGCAGGTCTCAGAAAAATTCAAATGTTTTACTGTACCTTTTGCGAAAATTGTAGTCTAACCGAACTATTGAAGTATGGTGACGGCACGTGTATTAAAACAGGCCAGGACAATCCACTGGGCTGGTTTACTGGATCTGTAGATTCCTTGGCTAAGCTTGGATTTGAATTATGGCACACTGACTCGTATGCTCCGCCATACTCCACCTACGTGTATTACTCGTAGATCTAAGGCATGTCTGATCTTCCTATCAATTAAAAGACCGCGTAGGCTCTCTATGTATAACTCCTGATTCACTCGAGTAGGCCACAAAAGGATTACGTGCAGAGTATAAAACTGGTTCCCGTTAAAGTTAACTCTGGTAGTGATTATACATAGCTTTATTTGTATGGTTCCCCAGCTGGCGAGAATATTAATAACCGAGGCAAATTCATCCATTCACTTCACCCATTTTTGATGAACAAGGCTTTGACCCTCCAGATCTTTTAAAGAAGGCTTTTCTATCCGTGTGAAAATACGGGAGGCTATGGAGCTGGAGGTGGCGATGCATTGACTGTTCTACAGAGACAAATGAGCTCTGCGCTTCACTCTAGTAAGGCAATGTATAAAATTTTAGTTTACTCTGCAGTTTGAGAGAGGCTTTTACTTGCAGGAAAGGTAGGAAGATGAGGAACACGGGCTAGCGGAAAAGCAAAACATTGTTTTCATCGCATTTAGCTGTAGGACAGTCGGTCGTTCTGAATAGAAAATCATTAACGTCGTGTCTGCCGATTGATCTCAATCATTGCGCTGTCCGCCTGACCTTGACGGTACGCATCAAAGTCTCGAATCATATAGTATCGCTGTCTCCCTTGAGACAGCTTTATCTTTTTCTCTTTCAGATAATCCTCCGCCACCTGTTCCGCCGTTACTCGGAACCGAATAAGCTGAGCGCCCGTTTCCCAAGGAGATGCTTCCGTTGCCGGTGGAGCCCCGCTTTTGGTGTCAATGTGAGCCTTTGAGTCCATGTTGAAGAGAGGCATCTCGGTTGGGTTCGGCGGCTCTGTGGGCTCTCGCTTCACATACATGTCGATCGTCTCATCCACATTGTCACAGAGGTCTGTTATCTTTATATCGTCCATATCAAAGTCAGCCTTGGTGTTGGAGTTTACGTCATCACCCTCGTCGCACGAACTTGTATCGAGCTCGGTCTTGATATTTGTTTGGTCGAGGATTTCATCACCATAACCAATTGCACTGAGGGGATCGGCATAACGGGCGGGGCGAAGCCGGAGCCTCTCGATCTCTCGCCGGCGATTCTCCGCTTCGTCGTGCTCTTGAGATGCCAAAATATCCAATTCCTTGCGCCGAGCTTGATCCAGCTCTCTTTGTTTTTCGCGATTAGCCATCGCGGCAAGCCCGTCGGCCACACCGATACGATAACTGAATGTGGGCTTGCCACCTTTGTAAGCGCACGCCCAGTTTAGGATCCTATTATGCGCCATCTCAAAGGACATCGCTGCGGCAACTGTGTTGCTAGCGATTCCAAAGAAGCTCCATTCCACACAGTCGCCGCAGTATGTTGAATAGCACTTGCAGTCGAAGAAAGTACACATTGCATTGGCTAGTTTGCCGGCAAAAGCTTCCATCATGACCCTCTTATCAGAGCCATTTGTTTTTATGATACGGACCTTGCTGTGTCCGCCAAACGAAGCCTTACTGTTGCTTCTGTCGCTGGCCAGAAGATCCGCTTGTGTCACATTGTGTTGGCTCATAAGTTTTTGGGAGACAAATAGGGCAGCCTTTGCTTCCAATTCGGACGAGTTGGCGTGATGCGCTCGATCGAGGCATTTTTGAATCCTTTCCAGAATCTTTTTTTCGACGGCAGAAGTACCCAGGGCTTGGTCTTGGTCCGCGGTCTCAACGACGGCGGCTTTCTGCATCGGTTTTCTGTCGGACCTTTTTCGTCTGGCTTGGCTGGATGGAAAAGGCATTTGGTTCGAGAAGCTCGAGGGTAAAACCCGAGGATCAGAACAGATACTCTTGACAAAGAGACGACAGCGAGATCTGGATGAAGAAAGCAGGGTAGTAGACTATGTGTCGAGCTGAGAGATGGCCTTTTAGTTACCATTAAAAGCTGGCTGACTCAGCGACTACCCACCCGTCCACCAAATGTTCATGGATGGTAAACTGGGTCAACTCGGAATACCCTGTTGTAACACGCAATACTAGCGTCTGGGGCTCTGAGACACTCTCAACAGCGATCTCCAGGATATTTCTTCACTCAACTCATTCAATAAGTTCCCTCAGTGAGTTTAACTGTTGATAAGATCTCTGGAACCGCTTCGTCTCACCTTTTGCTGAACTCGTCCAGTAACAGGCTCAGCTCTTGTGGGCTTGTATTCGTCAATCCGATTCTGCGAGAAATTGGAGTAACATTTACTTTGCAGATAAGCTTATACAACACACTCATATAACATTGACCCAACAAGACATTTCCTCTTTTCTGGCTACCACATTTTGCTGTTGAGAAATCGTAGACTTGAGTGAACAGAACGACCGTTGAGGCGCATTTAAGGTTTGCTGTGGGCCACCCATCTCTGTCCCCAAGCGCCTTAGTTGTGTAGTGCTAGCTTGTATGGCTTAGAGTTTACCGTCGGCATCAACATCGAAGGCCTTTTTCTTCACTGGGCAGCCATTGGTTCATAGATTTGGGCCACGGACTATTTCACCTACTGTTGTAAACTTCGATCCTGTCAAAGATCCTAATCCCAATGCTGGTTTCCTTTCAGCCTAGGCAAAATTTTAATTTAAGCTAATCGTACATAACAGTTGAGCCTGCGGAGGGAGTCGTTAATGGCGGGGAAAGATTTGCTCACTGTTTGTTCTTCACTTCTATGATGCAGGTGAACGATGTGAACAGCATTACGGGTGCAACTTTGCCAACCGCGTCAACGGCATCAACGGCATCAAGCTGGGGCGGGGGAAGACATTCACTTAAAGTTGAGATATTACAATACTGCAATCCTTGCTAGGATTCTTGACCCATAGGATACACATTCATTTGTATAAGCTGTTTTTAAAAAATACATAAACAATTAGAACTCCAGTCAAATTGAATCATCGTTTTCTGAGTATCAAAAAGTTAGGATGAGCACCTTTGGTCTTGCCCTTCTGCCGCTATGCAGTCTTGTTGTTGCATCTCCTGTAGCTGATCAACTACAAAGCGTGGACATTCCCAACCCACCTGCATCGGATCTTAAGATACCGCCCAAGCAGATTTCGTTCACCACATGTCTGGATAACCCCTTCCCCAACGGCATTCCAACTCAGCTAGGCAAATGGGATGGGAAATTTCCGCCCGACGACCGCTTCCGCACCATGCGAAGCAGTGGTGGCTACCTCTATTACGAGAAGGACTCCAGATGCAGTGATACTGAAAAGAATATTCTCGAGACAGCTCTATGGGAGGCGGCGACGCTTGCTTCATATTCGTCCAACCTCCCAAATAACGGGGCGGGCTCCAGAGGCTCTGCGTCAGCCTTGTGCAAAGAATCATGCAAATTCTCACCGATTACCTTAACTGGAACTTATCAAAGCCCCTCGTCTTTCTCAAGCTCAATTCCTCCTGGGAGCAGTGGAATCAGGTACCCAGTGTCAGTCAAACCTGGAGTTAGCCCGCGTCCTTCTCCCCCTCCCAAGACTACTGTTAGCTTATCGAGCTCTGTTTCTCTAGGAACAGAGCATACTTCGTCTGAACTTTTTGGTAAAGTGGGAGATACTCTTTCCCCGGGGCCCGTCACCGTGGGCTCAAAAACTGGTATCTATGGTCTGACCACTTTCATTCCGATCATCTCTGGCGGACCGATTATATCCCCGTCAGCTACTTCCAATCCTACACTGGAAATCATTGCACCAACAAGTACGGAGGCTCAGTCGAGTATTAGCCACCTGTCAGTGGAACTTGTTGGCCTTATTCGCAAGATTAACTCGTGGGTCGAGCATCCTGACGTCCCCGAGGCTACAGGCGTTATTCATGCTATCGAGAATATTCACCCGGATATTGAGGGCCTCCTCAGCAAGCTCGAACCCGAACCGGGCTCAAGAAGCTGTAAGAGCACGAGCAGGAAACGAATTAAGAGAGACCTCTCTAGCCGCAGCGCTTTCCTGTCCTTGTTTGATCTCGTGGATAACACCCTTTGTTCGGTAAATGATATCAAAAACAATGTCAGGGACAACATTCTGAACGACGTGAAATCGAACCTCAAGGACCTTCAGAATGCGGTTGACAACCTTCCTCAAGATAAGCCCAGATAAAGAGCCCACTCAGTCTCCAAGCCAATCGTCTTCGAACCCATCAACTTCATCGTTATCTTGCTCTGCGACAGCAACAGTCAGCGATTGCAGTGTCATTTGCGACATATCAACCCTACCCACTTCTACCGTATCTTGCTCTACCACTTGCTATTCTACATTCTTGGATTGTAGTTCGACAGGCACAACCACAACCACCACTGTCGAAGCCTGTACAAAACCCTCAGGCTGGAACAATGTGGCGGACGGGGAGGATTTTCCTATGTCCCAGCACCTTGGCACATCAGGTATAGCTGCACCCAGTGGCGCTCTACGTCAATTGCACGGGGCCTACGACTGGGAGCTCGGCCCAGCTCCTCAGTTCCTGTAGTGACAAGTGTCGGCTTCTCAACCTCATCGAATGCAACCATCAAGTTGAGCACATCCATCCCAGATTATCTGGCAGATGGGGCTCCGTGGTACAGCCCTACAAGTTGGTGCGACTGTGGACCGGGTTCAACCTACCCAACACTGCCTGTTACCTCTGGTTCTACGATAGCCAATTGTGCATACACTTCGCTGCCTGCATCAACCATTCAACCTGCGAGTACGTCCGCCGCGCCAACGAATATCCCAGGCCAAGGCGGTATTCCGGCCTGTTGCGGTTGCTTCAAGCAAGGAAACATCAGCATACTGTAACTGCGGTGGTATACTGGCTCCAACCCTCAATCCCACCGCTTCTGGGCTGCTAAACTGTGCCTACACGGCTCTGCCAACTCATTCCTACGACCCGGGGCGGACGCCGCCATCTGCTACGCCAGCCCGCTCATATGCACCTGGAAAGTGCAAGGTGCATATCGTGCAAGCCCTCGGACAACAATTTAGAGATCCTGAAGTCGTGCTCGGCATTAATATCACTGACGCGCATGGCACCACTATTGGTAATAACAAGGGCTCCGTTAAGTGGGGTCAAACACTCAATACAGACAGTCTACTCCCATGGGTCCTCATAGTGACTCCGCAGAGTGGTATTAGTAGCAAGAGAGGAACATCTGGGGCATTCCTTCGAAAGAGGGCGGGGGGTCCTATTCACTCTAATCGGCTGTTGTTCGAGAGCGGCCCGGTTTATTTTGCGTATGCTTCGCAAACGTGGGATACCACCTCTTCACAATGCTCGGTGGGAGACTGGAATAACGGCAACGCGAACGACTTCTTTGAATCCCTGATTTTCGGTGAAGACTTTTTGCCTAATCGCCAAATCGATTGCTTATTTGACTGCCCGGCTCCAGATAATAGTGAGAAACGGGATATGGTTGAGCATCATGACAAAGGATGGAAGCAAGACTTGAAAAGTCCTTCGCCGACTATCGGCAACGACCCGTCACCTAGTGTTGAGCAACTCTATGAGATACGAGATCTGAATCCCCAAGCAAGCCATGGCGCAGCGTGGGTCAAGTACGCCCCAAGTGGAGCACGATATTTCAAAGAGTGGCAAGAAAAGACAGGCAATGACATAGTTTACTCATGCGATTTCGACGATTTCTTCAATGTCGTAGCCTTGAACCGAGCACAGCCAGCGAGCGGTATCCGAGGCATCCTCCAAGAAGCAGGATACGGCACTGGCCGGGAGTATCTCGCTGTCTCTATCGAAGGCCCCAAGGACAACCCCATCGCTGACTTTACCAACACCATCAGCGCCACCCAGGGCGTCTTTCTGGCCAACACGAACGACCGCGGCAGCCCACCTGTGGCCTGGCAGTTTTCAGCGGTTGCCTGGGAATTGTGGAAAAGAACCGTGCTGACAGAGAACCCGGAATGGAAAAATGACATGTCAAAAGCAGACTACTCAGGCATCACGTCTTTCTGGCGCCGGGAGATCGACAATGAGGACACCCAGTCCATCCTCCACGACGCTTTCAATGACCTGGATATCAATTCCATCCAGACGTGGTACCCGGCCGATACTAATCAAGATACCAACCCTTTCTGGGCGCTGCTGGGGAGCCCTAATGGCAATGGAATCCAGCACTTCTTGACGGATAACAAGGTGGAGCTAAAGGGTAAGAGAGTAATCAGTATCAGTGCGGTGATGAGAAGTAGTGGGTATTATACCATGTGGGCGACCTTTGGATGATAGTCGAGCATTATATATCGTCAGAAGAGTTGAATACTGCCCTTCCCGACAAGCCCATTGATCAACACATAAAACATCATTATCTATCACCTGGGCAGAAATTATGAAATGAAATCTATCTGCCATATCTCAGAATACTGGGGCTATTGTGTGCTAAAGATGGCGAGGCGGTTTCGAAAACGATGCTTGTCAGTAGGTAAAGACGTCAAGAAGATGCGAAGGCCTAGCCAGGATCTCGCTTCTGACCCGATACCTCTGCCCGAACCACACGTGCTTCCCACAATGGAGACTAAGATGTGAGTTCGAACACGGCTTTTTCCAACGAGGGCATTACCTAATTCAGTTTGTGTAGGAGGTTCAGGCATTTCGTTAAATCCCTGTAAGGAAAGAACGTATCCGGTGAGAACAGAACCTCGGATGCTACGATTGCCTATGGACTGAAAGATTGACTAGAAGTGCTGTATGCGCTGTATACCTTCTTTGAGATGCTGGAGGACCGAGTTCCATGTCAGACACAGCATATGATTCTTCAGTCAATCCAGCGGCATCTTGAATATCATACTTTTTGGTACCTCAAGCGGTTTTTCCTCCCAGACTCTGAATACGGAGGTTGGGACAGTTCTGGACGACCATGGAGACATTTTGTCAAGCCCCTGAAATCAGACTTTCCTTTCACTCTACCTACAACCTGGGCAATCTCATAGTATCAGGAGCCATACGTGATCCAAATCTTGGTCGCTGGCTAAGTGGCTCTCTGCAGATCGTTTTGTGTGCCATGGATCGTATATCTGGAGAATTTTTGCAGACCAAAGTGGGTCTCACCGTTGACTTCCGAGGTGTAACCGTTCAGATGTGTCAACGGTCACTTGGTTACAAGGCAAGACGGGTATCCTGTGGTGTCTGATTTCCTCTGGCAACATTTCCTATGTAGGCAATTTTGTGGTTCGATTAGTTTGAATAGAAGATTCCTGGGCTAAACCTCCTGGTGACCACCAACTTCACAAATCTACAATTTTGAGAACTGTTGTCGACTTTGAGATTACGGTAGTCTACAAAAGCGATGGCTCGTTCGTTGTGCAGTTGTCCTGTCGGACGTCGTCTGATAAATGGCCAGAAATTGGTCACCTTAACGGCCGTAAATAACGAATAGATTGAGGATGGATGGTTGCTGAACACCAGGTAAAATATGCAGCATGGAGAATAAAACGCACACCAATTCCCAAGGCCAGCACTGGCCCTAGGAACTTGATGTCCTTACCAATAATCTGGACAAACCCTCCCAGGATGTAACAGACTGGGACTCAGGAATGGAAGGGGTGGCCCCAGGACTTGCCTCGAAGATTGGTAGAAACTTCCCCTTCCTGGGAATAGGTAATATTATGAAACATTCCAAATAGTGTACCCCCTCTACCAGATCGGCCGTATCAAGCTTCCTGGAATACCCGCAATGTCACACTCAGGGTATATCACTGCGTCGGCCCCGCCCAATACCATATCATAAAACGCCGCCAATTGCTTTTTTGTTGTAGCACACTCTTTTCAACATACCCTGTTTCGGAGCTCGCTCTTTCCCTTCTCCGCTCACAATGACCAGCCATAGTGCATGGGTAGATCATCCCAACACTATTATTGTACCGGATGAGGATGAAACACGAAATCAGGCAGTAGAATCGGATTCTGTACGATCAGCGGGCCGCCTCTTGACTAATTCAGGATACGTGGAGGCCGCGGGTGTACTCGTTGGATCCAGCATGAATGAACATGAGACCTCGACCTCTCTGAAACGAAAACGAACGAAATCGAAGGAACTGTCCGAATTGGTGTGTCCTGATTTCGTGACTTGATCATTATCATCTGGGACTGATTGAGACTAGGATCATACTTTTAAGAAACTCCGAACTGCAATTGATACCGAATTCACAACATTACGAAAAGAAAATCAGAAGCTTAAAAATGATATTAGTGTGGAGAGGGATAAAAACCAGAAATTACAAGCTGAAGTCCTAGAGCTGGGCAGAAAATTGAACCCTGAGTGCAAAGTTTGTTACAGACGGGACGAAAAATGGACTGAGCTTTTATGTGGACACATGTTCTGCTGGTCATGTGTTGAAAGCCTCGAGAAGCCACGGAGATGTCCATATTGCAGAGCTGATGTCATGGGATACTTTGTCTGTTATCCATTCGCCGGATGAATGAGAAAGTACAGCTCCGTGGAAGGGAGGACATTATTCTATCATGTGCGGACTATTGACCGTCCAGTACTGGCATATCTGAAATTGAATCTAGCCAGTACATGGCAAATTTGTTGTCTGGTGTTCCCTAGACATCGTACGACGACATCTTCCCCGCTGGCATTTACGGCATAGTTGAACGAATAGATTGTTACATTGGCGGATTTTCACGCTATAATTGATTCCAAACGATAGGCTTAGGCACGGTCGGCAAGTCTAACCGCGGTTTTCTGGCAATGGAAATTCATCATAGCCAATACTGACTGCAAGCCTGGCTGGACCAGGTCGAATCGTACCTCCCATCTTAGCATTGCCGGCCACCGTGGTAGTGTAGGCGTTATGGACAGCTGCGCTTCTCGCGTCGACCGATGAGCAAGTGTCTGTGTGGACGTCACATATTCTCATACCTTGGACTTCCAAGCCCGCCTTCTCTGCAGCTATCGTGGAAACAACGAAAGCTGATCTTCCAAAGTTGATCGCTGACCCAAAGTCGAACTCTCCCCATGTTGCGGCATAGCTACCATCCCGGACAACTGGAATGGATGAGCCTGAAGCAGCGGCCCATCCACCTTGAGAGTAGTCATCGAAAGCGATATACCGAACTTGACCGCGGTCCAGAGTGAATGTTCTGCAAGCGTTGCCAAGCCAACCTCCTAGATATCCGTCGGAAGCAAAATTATTCCATATCGACACGGTCCAGCTACGTCCATTGCTGGGAGCTTCGAACCGGACAACATATTTGTACTGGTTTGCGGCCTCGGCAGATACTTCGATGATATTGCTACCATATGGATCGCCAACGTTGCCCAGATATTGAACCCTTTTCACCAGAAAAGTTGGAGGTCTGAGGGATATCAATGCAGAGGGAGGTGCACTCATATAAGCGATGTTCCAGTTGAACATGATCTGGGACGCGTCTGTGGCGTTGGAGTACTCATAGCCACGACAGCATGATTGCAGGAAGGACCATGCGAGAACCCAGAAATGGGGTAGCATGATCGACAGACGAATATTGCAAAGCGGAAAAAATGATGTGTACGGTATGGTGATATGTTGGAAAAGGAGAACTTTTGACACGATTCGATGGCCTACAAATACTTTAGGTCTTGCTAGCAGCCAATATCAAAGCGGTCTAATAGCACTTCCACGCTAAAAAAATAATTTCTGATACCTCTTTGTCCCGATACATCAAATCCTTAACTAACTGGTGGTTTAAACATGTAAACAGGTGAAAATAAGTGCGGTGTCTGGGATGAATCAACGATGAGGTCAACGTTTGATATTGCCCGAAATGACGGCCAACGAGGAAATTATTCGGATGGTCCGCAAATACTTTGAGGTCAATGTTTGATTATCATGACAACATATCAAAAACAAGTTCTTTTGTTCTCTTAGACTGATATCAGTAAACTGAGCATCGCCGCGCATGAAGTTAATTTTTGGCACCAAATGAAAGTCGGGTGGGCTAATAGCATGATTGATTCAATCATGGCTCTGAAAGATGCCATGAGACCGTTACTGCTATGGAGAGTTCAGCCGTAGAAAAGTTTGGATCAAGGCCTTGTTAGAAAGCTCTGTTAACGTATATGAGCTACACATGACTCGACTGCAGGACACCATGTAATGAGAAGTACTAAGAGAGATTCTGCTGTGAGATTTCTCGTCTATAGACATCTGTTAACTGCAGGAAAATACGAGTTCTGATGATATGGCGGTGGAAAAGCTGAGGTTTCTTAGTACCTTGTTAGACTCAAACACACGAGTCTAGCCTACTGTAGCATGGTGCATTCTTCACACTACGTTCTCCATCCTCAAGTAAAATTACAGGTGTTCTGAAATGAGGTTCTCATAATTCGATAATATTAGGCTGAATGAGGTCTGTCATTAGGCACCTCCAATGTCTGGTGCGACCGATTTCAAAATTGATGACTAGAAATTCTCTCAGCAAAGAACGTTGTTTTGAGTAGCCTCAATATTCTTTTTTGAAGAGGTGTCAATTGGGAGATATAAAGCTTCATGAAACGCCATCTTGTAGAGTCTTGGACGTTTTACTTATTATTATCTACACAGAAAGGCTGGAGAATTGGTCAGCTAGAAAATTCAAAACGTCCACCCGATGTATCAGCAGTCTGAAATCGATGAAATGGAGCGGGATGTCTTTGCTCATCGCCAGCGACGCTTTCGGTTATCTGCAAGAGTCCACATAGCAAATTTCTCTTTTGAGCAGAGTTTTCGCAAACGAATGGACAGTGGTCAGAACACCCGCCGGATAAAACGAATCATGACAATTCAAGGTTGTCGTCGATTAATGCAAAATAACCATGTCCCCGTCATCGTACCCAAAGCAGACTGGAACACCCGTGTTCGTCCGCGTTCACACGATGGTATCAATTTCTGGCTAGATGTTGATCCAGATTATCAGCTCCGCGCCCAGGACCACGAGAGCCTCATCAGAGCCGCCCTTGGTGGGCTCAGTATTCACAATCAATGGTGGATCGCTGATGTCTATGTAGTGGATGAGGACGGTACGTCAGTTCTAGTGCACAAAGACGTGGAAGATCATCGCTAATTATTATGCCATTCAGACGACCGTGACACCAACCCAGATACTGTGAAGCGATTTTTTCGGTCGCTGAACGAGCGATTCTCCAACGACCGTCGGCCCCCTGATGGGCTGGTATATGAGCGGATTCGTTACTATGAAGGTCATCTAGATGGGCCAATCGATGAGTGGGCTGCGAAGGATTGGTGGGCTATGTTGGAGACGACGCCTGGCAGTAAAAAAGGGAAATACCTTCGTGCATTCTTGAGGCATCCACGATTTCCCCAGAAGCTTGATTCTCTGCTGATCATTGGTGGTCTATGGGGAGGAATGCGTATTGGTCTTTTACACAAGCTGCTAGCAATGCATTGTGATGAGGTACGTCGCTATCCAGAAGTGCTAAAGCTTTGGCTGATGCTTTACGTCGCAGCCAATCCTTTGTTATTGGGACTTGATTCTCAAGACATTTCTGAAAATTGCGGGCAACCGGCATGAGCTCCTGCCTCTGATGGATGGAGCTACGGTGAAGTTGCTCCAATCTCGGGCCCCGAAAGTCTCTCCTCGCGATCATGGATTCTTAAAAGGGAAGAAGGATCGCGCTGAGCTGTTTCCAAACCTGTCGCCTTCACAGCGGCAAGAATTTTGGCAACAGTTACAAGAAATTGACTACCCAATTCCAACTCTGGAGACGTTCTTCAAAGATCGTTCCTATCTCGAGGTCGGCCAAAGCGTCATGAAACAACTTTATCCAGCTGATCCGCACCGACAACTCACCGTTGATCAAAGGGTCAGTGAGTTATTCGATACACGCTTGCCAGTCCTTTATACCATGAGTCAGCAAAGGCTTGGACATGATTTACTGGAATTCTGGCGCTTTAGCTTCCAATATGGTTTTGAGCTGACAGATCACCAACGTCGCAAAGTTCTGGTTAAGGCTTCAAGGGAGTCCACTCCTAGTTTAGTTTTCGAGGAGCCCGGCCCTCCAGACAGGATGCATATATGGGGCCACTTCTGCCAAATTATTCAATCTAGAGGCTTTCGACCTCCTACTAGATTCGACTTCGTACCTCGGACCCGACTTCCCGACCCAGTTGCTTGTGATTTTCCCGAGATAGGGCTGGAAAAAGACGTTGAAGTGGAGAAGCGCTCTGGGAAACCCTTCTCCAATACAGTTGAGGCAGACCGTTATGCTCTATCCGCCGAATCTCTTCGACAAAGTTGGACGACTCCTCAAGTGACGGCAGGATTCCTACGGAGGTCCGTTTTCAAGGCATTTTTCTCTTATCTCATCGAAGAGGGCCAGGAATTCAACCAAGGACCGGCAGTCCATAGTACCCCGATCGATCTCAACGATTTCTCACGAGAGGTAGTTCGTCCAAACGCAGATGTAGATATCGGAAACACGGAGATGGCGTCAAACCTTGAACAGGCACCAGGATCTGCCATCCCAGTCGAGACATTCACGGCTCTACCTACCGCTATCATTGAGGGTGATCCAGGTGTGACAACTCACCCAAGCCAAGGGCAATTGTATTTCCCCATGCTTGTCACGATCGGCAGTGACCAGAAATCGCTGAATTTGCCCGATGACCATGAATTCATGAATTTGTTTCAGCACGGACTGAACCAGCACTATTTTAGTATTGCGGTACCAGACGGACGACTGATCTGTCCGGATGAATGCTATACATATTATCTCCGCCATCCGGCAGAAACATTACATGCGCAATATTATAATAGAGAATCTACCATCACTCCTGAGTCAAATGCTCAAGCGATGTTGACAGACCCACCCCGGCAAAATGATGCAAGGACCGAGATGGAACAAGCCAAAGGTTGGCTGAACGAAATTGCGCGTCAGTGTGTTCAAAACACATGATCTGATATGGGCGAGCTGAAATCCTATTTCCGATCAAGTTACTTCCAGGATCAGCTAGAGACACTCTGCAGGCAGTACAGGAGAGCCATGGAACAGAAATCCAGAGGTTTCGCCTGTTGAATCTAGCAACCTGAAGATGTGTCAGGCCAGTCATATTAAGGTGAAAAATCAGGCAATGCGGATGTGATGTTGAATGAATACTCTCCATTTACCCATTCCTGTCAACATAGGCAGTGTACAGATGAACTTCCTCTATGGTTCTTTAAGGAAGTTTGATACTATTTCGACCTTGAACTGGAATCATCGCAGTCGAGCTGTGGGTGATATAGTTATCAGTCTCGAGTTATTGATCGTTCGCTATTGAGTCTCACATGTCCACTGAATAATACAGTCTTTTCCTCTTACTCGCCAAATCGATAATCTTCTATCCTTTACCAAGTTCCTTAAATATAGACTTGCAATACAGAACTGTATCGTATATAATCAAGGCGTGATGTGTGGTTATCTTTAATGCAGTTCCAGTGGATTGTAAACGCATGCTGAGGGCCGGTTTGCATGTAAAGTTCGTATACACCGGGGTTTCCAAGTGCGAAGAGATCAACACCAAGATCACATTGACATGCCACGATATGGAGGGGCAACACTATATTTTTCCATTTTGTGATGTATTATATGAGACCTTTTGCAACTGTCTGAAGATAGAGCTACAAGCTTTGAGATAAGTTCCAATAGAAATTCATTGTTAAAAAAGGTAGAACTCGTTGTCTCACTCAACTTCGCATGCTTCGCGAATTCTCACAGCTTCTCCCTATTTCAATTGGAAAAACCCGTTCACCCAAGACCTAAAAGTCCCCGATAGGTTAGACGGTATTCATCTGTGTACCTGGGCCTCCAGCAGGCACAATCACACCGGCGTACAGGATGATGCTCTGGAGCAAGACCACGTGCATTATGACCAAGCCTATTCGGGGTAAAAACCGCATTTGAAAAGTACCCGAGTTGCATATCATGTAAAGGCCAGCGCCAAGAGCATTTTGTAATGACATGTGAAGAAATTCCACCGCAAGCCTAGTTTTCTCTCCCGACATGACCAAAGTATGAAAAGCGGGAACAAGAGATAGCAGTCCAAAACGCGCACACAGGTATGGGAACCGGGCCTCAATTGCTGCGGTATCCAAAGAGCTAGTAGAAAGATCGGCGATGCTCACAAGGAACATTAAAGTAGAAGCAATCAGATATGAAAATTGCAGTAATGGTTCGGTATCAAAGAAAAGCATGATAACAGACAAAGTGCTTCCCCAGATGAGAGCAAGAACCCCTCCATATTCTACCGCTCTTCTGAGTGCAGCATGGCTGCCTTCAAGACACAGCTGGCTCCATGACCAGAGAGAGGAAGCACACCAAACAATGGCTCCAAAGCAGTACAGTAGGAAGGGAACAGTCATGTTCGAATCTGGTTTCGTCTGTTTTGGATATGCGAGTGTTGTTTGTGAAGCCAAAGTTGAAAAGTATGCTGCTCCAAAAAGATGAAGCGCGGAGATGATTATCGAGTCACAAGCCTGAGAATGATTCATCTCGTCTGTGTGGAGTACTGTATAAAGAGAATGAGAAGTGAATGATTTGGAACCCATCAGCCACTTATAAATTACCCAGTTAACTGGGCAATTGATTTTCGAGACATGGGAAGTAAATATTGAGTGTGGATGGGGCTAATCATTTTGAACAGCCCCCAGCCTGCGGTCAATGAATTTTTTTTCTGTAGATCAGAGCCTAGCAAGGTGTTTTGGTGATCCGTTTGTCACTGTTGAAGCCCGTCACTCTTGATACCCAAGCGTGTATTTGCGTATTCAACGTTAATAACCGTTTCTCTTCAGTGATTGTGACAACTGAACAATTGAAGGAAACCGGAAGGTGATTGTGGGGTGTTAAATTGGATCAATTTTGGTACTTGAAGCGTGGTGATATCCTGGGAAACTGACGAGCTTCTCATTCCAGTCTAAGAAGTTATCATCAAGAATTCCCTCGACAGCAATAATGACTCAAGAGCCGACCGACATCTTTGAAGTTTTGTCATCCTACTACGAATCTGAAAGTGCAGGCTCAGAGAGCTCTTTCTTAGCATCTTCAGAAGACGACAACACAGAAATCAGCGAAGATCGCGATTTCGTGGTTTCCGATGGCGAATCCCTGGTCTACACGGAAGGTTCATCAGTCTCCTCTGATGACAGTGAGCTCGAGGAACCAAATTCGGAATATGACAATGCCGCTGCGGTAAGTAGAGCCAGTGAGGTGACTTCAATTTTGAATGATTGTGGGTAATTTAACATTCGGAACAGGTTGGTAAGAAATTTCCCATAAGTGCCATCGCACAACGCGTCATCAATCGAAACGGAGTTCTGGTGACGCAGTATTTGGTTCTTTGGCAGTCCTGGGAAGATTCATATCCATGAGGCTAGGAGAACGGTATGTGGCTTCGTTACTGAGGCCAGAATAGATCAAGTGAAGGGGCTTTCCAGTGTCAAAGTGTGCCACCCAATTTCAAAAGAATCAGAGTAATATGAGGTGGCTCTACCTTTTCTCGTTTCAGGAAGATATCTATATTAATGACGGAGATAATCAAACCAGATCCCATTGAAAGTGAACTGGATTCAGGCGTTGCTTTGACCTTTTTCGGGGTTTGCAGCCGGGATAATGGGTAAATATCTTGTCCTCCTGTATCCCGCAGAGTTGCCTGGTCATGTAGCTATAAATTCTTTATAAGAGGCCAAAAACGATCCAGATTGAATTATTGTCTCCTATGGGCTTAGGAATTTTGATTCAAAAGAGAGAGATAGAGAGTAAAGGATCGTCGGTAAGCTGTCGTCAGTTCTGGAGGAGACAAGACAGCATAATGAAATGGCGTGCGTACCTGCAAATAGCAGCTGCTCCTGTCTTTGGAAAATTCGATCCATGAGACCCGTGAAGTGCAAGTGGGATGGGGCTGAGCACAAATGTTGAAATCTGCCACCTTTGGTTCAACAGGTTGATTTCAGCTTGTCTGTTCAGAAACAGTGAGACCTTTATATTCACTATGAGCCAAGCCCTGCACGCACATAACACAGCCCAGAGCTTATATTGTATTCAAAGGCAAAGATGCTCTTGCTTTAGAAAGAAACGGTTCTTTTTTCCCAACTTCACTCTCGGTAAGAGCCGTCAAGAGCTTTTTGAAGGTCAACAACCATCCGTTCCAATCCAAAGCGCCGGTGATGCTGATGACTGAAAAAACAACAGAGCGGATTAGGTGGCAATTCCATAGCCTATACAAGAGGTGTGTCACTTACAGTATAGGGTAGTAAACACAAATGCTGATTTTCAAAGCTTAACTCAGACGGTCCAGCCAGAGATTTCCTCACCATCGGCCCTTCGGTTTCCGTTTATTTACTCTAAGACGGAGGAGTTGGTCTGGCGATGGGATCAATTAAGGCTTTGTGGCCAGAGTATCGACATTGCTCTAGAGACAGTCGAAATACTGGACGACCAACCAATCAACTGGTCGGACCGAGATCACCAGTACATTTCTGGTGAAGGAAGCACCCTCAAAGTCTTACCTCCAGCACATCTCACCAATCTGGACTGGGACGGGTACAAGATTGGAATTTTCCAATCACCCACATCAGTCAGCAGGAAGATCATTTTGCTCGGTTATCGGAGCCATGGTCCGATATTCAAATTCCCGAGGTTTTTGCATCCCCATGGTCAGACTCGATGGAGGAAATTTCAGCAGCGTCGCGTTGGCTGGTCGACTGAATTCTGGATCTCGGATTGCGTTGTCATTGATCGAATGAGCCCAGAAAAACAAAAACTGGTGATATCGGCGTTGCGATCTAAAGAGAGTTCCGCGAGAGTTTTCATCTGCATCGGACTACCAGTCACCACATTTGGCCCACTGTTCAATACTATCGTATCCACACACAACGGTGGCACAGACTCTTTTGAGCTTTCCAATGGCTTCATTTGGGTAGAAGCCTTGTTGGACGTGAAGACGTTCTCGATGAAATCAGACACACTCCAGGACCCTATCCACCATCCATTTCTGTACATGCAGAAGCAAATGGGCAGCAAGTCATTATTGGTAGAGGCAAAACTTACTTTCGAATTGGCAACCTCGACCCGGAAGAAGACAACTATACAGGCTGAATTGCTTGAAGTGTCCAATATTCGCACCACGTCTTCGCACAAACCAATCACACACACAGAACCTGAGAGCTTGGTAGTGTGAAAAATACCTCGTGGCTCAGACGCAGTTCGAACCCCGATCTTGCTCCTTGAAATTAGGATCCTAAGACCAAATATCCGTTCAGATAATAATCCAATCCGCAAACAAAGCTAGTTTCATGCCATTCTTAAATTCTCTCATGCTGTACTGTATCAATACTACCCGTCACGGTGATCACGATGCAAGATGACTTGAGGAACGTGTCGGGTTTCATGGACGGCAGACTAGGCCTCTTCTCGGAAAAATCAGCAACTGATTATGAAATCTTCAAAAGGGACTGGTCTTTCCCGTTTTGCACCGTCATCCTCGATGTTTTAGAAGGACAGTAGTTCATTCGATCCTTACAGCATCTTGTGGCGTCATAATCTACCTCTCCACATGAAATGATGTAGATAGCACAACCATGGCAAAATTGTGCGAGTATTACCGGCATATTCATAGTACTAAGTAGACCTCTGCGGGCTCTTCAATTCTCATTTCTGATCTCACTCAAATGCAATGTCGCTCTAGCGAGGCTCATGAGGTCGCTAATGGAATGGTGCCTCTCTGCGACAAGTGGTTGCTAGCGGCGGTCAGTGTCTGACAGTAACGCTTCGGTCATATATGTTTCTTACTTGTTTTAAAACAAAGAGGGATGATTCTCCCTTCGCGGCATTCAGAAATTGAACGATGTTGGATTTGAAGGGCGAGCTACTCGACATTTCGTTCGCAGCTACATCCTTGTCATCTCGAATCATGAGCTGCGTCACAATAGATGGTACTGCCGCAATATACGTTGCTTCCGCCTGGGCCGTGGTACAATCTACACACCATTCTAGACGTGCTACAAGTCATCAGCAACGGGGTGCATCTGAGAGGATGATTGCTGACATACCGATCTTTACCACTCCATCCAGTCCAAGCAGTATATCATGACATGTCAAGGATTGATGAGTCAGACCAAAGGTGCTGAGGTAGGATACACCGTTGAGAACCTGATAATAAGTCATTCCAGTCCCTATTGCTGCAGAAGGCCACCTACTTGAACCATAATACATCCGAGCTCGAACTCCGCAGGACGAATTCTCGGGCAGGTTATGAGATGGCCGAGGGTTAACGCCAGATCGTCCACCAGAAAATACGTGAAATCAACATCGAGGTAACACTCCAACAAAGAAAGCACATTTCTGTGTTGAAGCCGCCCAAATCGTCCGATTAGCCGCCGCGTATCCTGTTTGGGATACTTCCGGATGGCAACCATGCGAGAGGGACGGGAGCAGCGAGTGGCGATGGTAACTTTCCCTGCGCCGTCGTAGGTGACCACCGGGTGATAGGTATCCCATGGCGATTCTCGTCTGACAATCAAGACGGATCCCATATCATCGGTATCGCACAAGCGAGGAAGGTAAAGGGTCTTCAGTGGGCCAGTAACGACTTTCGGTCTGGGCGCGCGACAAGATAAGCGACTTTGGCTTTTTGTTATCCACTTACTACCCGAGTTAATGGCCGAACCATTAAATGTTGTTGAGGCGTGTGCCTGAGCCTGAATTGCGGCGAAATCGAACACCACATTAGCCTGGAATGTTCTTTCCGTCATAGTAGAGAAAAGGGCGAGCTAGGGAGAGAGAAAAAGTTGACTTTTTGGCTTAAGCTGACAGATTGGGCCAAGAGGAGGCCGTCTGTATAAATACTTGTCGCGAATGCCATTTCCCACACCGATGACTTTATATGAGGTGGCAAAAATTTCGACCAGCGGCGCAGAATTATGCTTTCTCTGTGATGCCGCTACATCGAGCTGAGCTGTCTTTCTTGGAGGGCAACCTTTTTAACTAGCATGGACCGGATGTTGTTATCCATTTCTTGAGGTAAGTGACGGTGAAACATAAAATTGATGGGAGGCTTGAGAGGTTCTTGCTAGCGTGTAGCAACTAAAATAAAGATTGATATAGTAAGCACTCTGCTTAAGTACTAATATTGATTCATCTGCTTCAGAACAGTTTGTGTTGGTATCGCCAGCTAGGTACTGTGTACACAGTCAAGTGGACAGTTTATGCTAAAGCAAAAGTGGATTGATTCGTGTATGATAGATGTATATTGTTGTATGTTCCAAAACAGGTCAGGTTCCAAGATAACCCTTAATCCCATGCATGGACACACGGCGGTCACTGCATGGGAGGCTTGAAGGTTCTTGCCAGCGAGTAGCAACTAAAATACAGATCGTAGTAAACGCTAGGCCTAGGTAGAAATAATGAATCATCTGCTTCGAAACAGTTCGTGGTCATTGTAAATGACAATTTCCAATCGGAGACTCGGATCAAACCCGCTTGACGAGAGGGAAACATGGAGCGTATGACTATGCCGTACTTGCTTATAACTAGGTAGGGGTACCACTCCAGTATAAAGTCCAGGTTGTGAGTGTGATACTACATAAAATACTAAAGCTTTCTAGCCAAAAATCCGAGAATCTTTCCGGTACTGTATAGCGTGAGAATTGCTTCTGATGTCTTTTTATCGTCAAAGAAGCCCGATCCTCCTCATGACCCAAGCACGTTTTGTACCCTTTCTAGTTGCTCCGTTCTTCTCAAGAAACAGCTTTAGAGCTTGGTGATCATTTGTCTCAACCTTGTCGCCTTGCAAGAGTCGTGAAAGAGGGGTCAAGTACATTTTATCCAATGCATTGACATTGGCTCCGTTCTCCACCAGAATTCTCGCGGTAACATACGAGCCATATTGGGTGGCCCAGGAAAGAGGCGTTCTTTTGTCTCCATCGCGATAATTTATTGGTGTGGGAATCGCCAATAGTTTAAGCAAAAGCTCTTTGCAATCACCCATAGCTGCATAATGAATGAGAGACCTTTTAAATGGGCCCGATGCGTTAGAAACGCCACTAAAATTGAGATCCGAATGGGCTTCTTCGAGGAAATCCATGATCTCTTCGCTGACTTGGTTGTCTCTCATTCGTTTCAGGCGTCGGAATTCTCCATCGATGACAGTGGTATAGGCAGCCATAAGACGCCGAATGCAATGAGTAATATACAGCGGAATCTAAGAGCTGAAGAGAAGGTCTTGATTAATATAGGTCTTGAGATTAGCACTTAGCTATTCCCAGCTTACTTTTCGAAGCTCGCACAAAATCAGATATCCGAGGCTTGTTTAAGATTTCCTGGTTGAAGGGACAAAGCCGTGCCACTCCAAAGTCAATTCATTGCGGCCGGTTCACCAACGGTTGATTGTTCTAGTATTAATTCAAATTCGAATTTCCAGCTCCCTTACTCCGGTCTCGCTGATTAAACGATTCTATCACCTCAGTCTGATAAAAAAGGGGATGTTGGATCAAGAATGCGCACTAACGCTGAGCAGGATTTTCTGTTGTGATTTGAGGCTGTTGCTGCTCAGGAATGAAGCCGCAACATCGGAAATAATTCCTGCACTATCTATAGGAAGTTCCAAGTTGATTGAAAATCAACTTGGACTTCATGCTGTATTTATGGCCTCTCTGTATTCCTCTGAAATAAAAAGAAGCAAGCTTCCTTTTTGCAACTTACAACAGGTTCAACTGTTGACGGACCCGCGCCGCGGTTGGTCTGCGCATATCGCGGCAATGTAGGTTGGGCAGATATAGGGCGGGGGGTATTAGAGGAATTAGCAGAAAGCGATCCTACGGATGGATAGATTGGAGCAGAGAGCAAATGTGGTGTAGGTGTGATAGTGGTTAGGGGTGATCTTGGAGCAATAGGACGGATGTTTGACGAAGGGAGTTGCCCTGAGCGTGGCTGGGAGAATAGTAACGCGGAGGGCACTATTGTAGCGGATGAGGAGGCAGCACGAACGACGGTAGAAGGACGATTTGCTCTGGATGTTTGGCGACGTGAAGGAAAAGTATTTAGATAGTAGTCGAACGACATTCTGGTATAGGAATTCTGGAAGGAGCAAGGACTATTTCTAAGAGCATACAGTAAATCGCAGGCAGAGACACAAGCGACGGGCAGAGAAGATAGTAGCACAGAGCACAAGAAGACAGGAGGGGCGTCGAGGATGACTTGCACTCGAAGTTTAGAGGGAAAAGGCTGGAAGGGCATCCACACCAGAACGCAGAAAGGTAGCGGCGGTGTAGTCGAACACGAAGTCATACAGAAGCGCAACCAATCAGAAGACGACTTCATAAAAGTGCGTAGCAAAACGATGCAGGCAATAAACAAGAGGGAATAGCGAATAAGGCGGCACATCGAAGCAGAAGCATCAGATAAGGGCAGGGCGGAAGAGGAAAGGGCATGGAGAGAACTGATAGCAAATGAGAGAAAGAGTCCCAAAACGCGGACCAATGAACAAGCAGGATTTGGCTAACAGCAACATCAAAGATAAAGTTTTTTCAATCAAGGGTAATCCCTGTGCACGAAGGTAAACCCTTCCTCTCACTTCGTTCGTTTCAGGGCATACGTGTGTTGCTTCTCATATAAATTACATGGTAGTCACAAGATTGTATTAGCTTGAAAATTCAAAACATTCGCTACCCAAGCTGGCCTTTGCATCTTAACAATCAAATCGTAAGTCGTCGAACCAAAGATGGCTCCAAACCTGGCTCCTTCCATAAGCTTATCTATGATATACCTAACAGTGAACTATCTGTATCGGAGATGGCAGAGTCCATTAGCTGCAACAGAAGCACTATCCGACAAATCTCTTCTAATATAAGGACGTTTGGTAGTATCACAGCACCACCTAATAAAGGCGGACGACCCCATAGCACCGCTCTAGTTATGTAACTATAGGATGGAATAGCCTTTTTAGAACCACGAGATCCCGAAAGTATCTAGAACATCAAGCGTACGCGCACGAGAGAAGCATGAAAGCATATGAGAGAATATAAATTATAGCGGCTATACATCGAGGATAGACGTAACGACGCCGAAGCCGAAAGTCCTATCACCGTCATGGATAATAAAGTGCAGGCCTTTTTCCATCGTGATCAGCGCGATCAACTTAACCGTGATCGATAGGTTATCGCCCGCCTTCACCATCTCCCTCCCTCCAGGAAACGAGATAGAACCGTTCATGTCGATTCCATAGGAGAAACGTAGCCGGTAGTGGTTAGGGGACGATGTGGTATGACTGCCCTTATCCGTGTCCAGCACGTAGATTTCTGCTGTGAAATCCGCGTGCATCGTAGCCGTGCCTGGCTTCGCCAGCACATAACCGCGGCTCACGTCCTTAGGCTTAAGGCCACGTAGCAGAATACCCACGTTTTCCCCCGCCTGGCATATGTCTAGCTGCTTCTTAAACATCTCAACACCGGTACAAATCGTCGATACTATCCTCCCGAAGCCTATAACTTCGACTGTATCGCCGATCGCGATCATGCCGCGCTCAATACGGCCTGTTGCCACCATTCCACGATAAGGCAGATAGAACGTATCATCCACTGCCATAAGGAACGGGCGAGACACCGCTTGCACTGGCGCTAGGATATGCGCGTCTAACGCCTCACCTAGGCGTATGATCGCGCGGTCGCCTAGCTCGCCCCTAACTCCATCTAGCGCCTTCTGCGCCGAACCCTTAATGATCGGCACGTCATTGCCTGAGAAATCGGATTTGTGCAGCAGCTCACGCACTTCCATTTCCACCAGCTTAAGCTGTTCCTCGTCGTCAACAATGTCGCACTTGTTTAGAAAGACAACGATGTACGGCACACCCGCTTGCCGTGCTAGTCGAATCTGCTCGCGAGTCTGCGGTGTCGGGCCGTCTATAGCTGACACGACTAGGATCGCGCCGTCTATCTGCACCGCGCCACTGAGCGTGTTCTTGATGTAATCAACGTGACTAGGGAAGTCGACGTGACTATAGTAGCGATTTTCGGTCTCATACTCGACGTTAGCGGTCCGGATGGTGGTGCTATGGAGTTTCTTCTCGGGCGCGTTATCAATCTCCTCGTAGGTTATCATGGTCGTCGAGCTGAACTTCGCGGCTAGCGTGCTAGTGATAGCAGCCGTCAGGGTCGTCTTACCATGATGATCATGGCCAATTATACAGATGTTGATAGAGGGTTTGCGACGCGAGGACTTGCTACTAGCATCCGACGTAGAATTCATGGTGAGCACAAGTGTGTAAAAAGAAATGCCAGAGGCAGGTGCGGGGCAGCTTTCTCTCTTTTTATTTTGTTCTGTGCGTAATGTCGATCCCTTAGAGACCCCGCAGCGTAATCTGAAGATGGCAACTAACCCTACTTAGTCTGTGCACACATAAGGAGCCGGTATGTATAGCTATCATAGGAAATGAGAATGAGCTTAGCGCTGGAAGCTTGACCGAGCGCTATATGGTCTACGTATCTCATCGAAGCTGTGGCAGCAGGAAGCATCAGCTGTTCGCACGAAGCTTAGCCTAGTAGTTATGTCTGAAGACTCATGCGTTTTTACCGTATACGGTATTATCATCTTCTTTTATGTTGCCTTATTGCTAGCAACCCATCAGTGCGAGAGAAGGCCCGCTAACTTAAGAAGGACCCCTAGCCCTAGTGTTCGACGTGTTTGCAGTTCCATGGTAAATTGAGTCCCCTTGGGTCGCCAATACGGATACGAGACAAGGCACTATGTTTTAATGAAAGTACATCGCGGTAACGAGATTGGAGCAGGAATATTAATATTCCGAGAATATTCCTAATTTACTCTAGAGTGTCTTGGCTGTGGGGCTAGAGAGTCACTCGAAGAGTGGAGGCGGTTGCACCGGTTTCGCAACGTACTGTATCCATCGCCCCTGGCGAGCACGCCAGGTAACTGCTCTCGTCAAGCAGTTAGGACGATGGATCTCTACCTTCTCGTGGTGTCCGGTGTCAGTACCCTCTTGTTTTGTGGAGGGGAAGCCAAAAGAATCCGCGTGGGGTGAATAGGGGTCGGGCCGCAGAGTTTTCCGTGGTTGACGACACCCGTCCACCCCACACAAATCAGAGGAAAACGGGTTATGAAAACCATCCGACGACTGCCTACTCGACTCGTACTCGAGACCAAAGCTGGACTAGTTCTCCAGTGGTTGTGGTATCGCCTAGGCAGGAGACAGGACACCTCTGAGCTTGAACACCCTCTGAGATCGCGAGACGCTAACGAACTTGAATGAAGAAAATATCGAAGACAGCACGCGCAACACGAGACGAACAAATGGAAACATATGAGATAGCGTTACGCGACGAGGGGGAATACAACTGGTGGCGCAGCAGGCTGAGCAAGCCGTTTGGGAGGTCCATGGAATACTCTGCGTCGGAACCTCGTTAAAGCAAAGCTACGGGCAACTCCGACCAGGACATCCTGTGGCCTCTTCCAAGCGGGGTGCACAGTCTGGCGACGACCCTCGACGAACTCGTTAAGGCACAGCCACGGGTGCTCGAGAGGGCTGCAAAATCAGGGACACAAGCTTGGTTAGTGAAGGACAGCCGGGGTATCCTGCAAGGTCAATGAGGATATTCCTGGCGGCCTTTGCGAGACACGGTCGGCCGGCAGAGAGAGATCTCGGCTGGTAACGCGAAGCAGGGAGACTTCTCCTTGTGGGGCGTGGCACATAATGGCAGTGACGGACGAGTCGAGAGGACCCGACGAGACTGTCTATGTGGCCCGAGAGGACGGACGCGCGTGTCGGTGTGCAAATAGACAGAAACAGCCACCTCACTCGCACTGAGGACCTGAAATTAACCAGCCAAAGTGGTGTCGTCCTAGTGGGGCAGGTCCGACCTGTCTTACTATCTCACTCGCACTGAGAACCTGCGGCTGGGCGATGGATGTGATGTTGCTCTAGCTGAAATGCTGATGATGCATGCTTAAGGAGCAAACCTGGAGACACCTGGGGTGAGAGGTTTTTGCCGGGGCCTCAATAACTGGAGGGCGTCCATCGAAAGATGCGCGTGCCGAAAGCCAGGGCAGTGGCCTGAACAAGCGGGCCTGGTGAAGCTGCTTTACATCAGTTCCAAGAACTCGTTAAGGCTTTGCCACGGGCGATCTTGGCTGTGTAGTCATGTCTCTTGGCCCACCCGCTCCGCAGGAGCACAGCCTGCATAAAGAAGTTCAGGAGATACCACCGTTCGCCGCTGTACCAGGTAGTGGACGCGCTGAAAAACATTGAGATGGAAACTCTGGAAACCATCAATCCGTTCGTGTTAGCACCGTGGGAGACTCGCATACAGAGCGATGTTGAAGGAATGCCGCACTCGCACACCGTACCGGGCGGATCATTGTAAGTGGCGGTCAGCAGTTCCGCACGAAACGGCCTCGTAGGTTTTGGGGTGGCGATCAAGAAACAGCCACCTCGATATCGGAAGCTGAAACTGAAGACCTTCTCCACGACACTAGGAACAAGATTAGAGCAAAACCCATTCTCCGCGGAGCTAGCAGCACTGGCACACACATTGAACATGCTAGTGGGACTGAAAGACTACAGGATCACGCTGCTCACGAGTAACAAAGCAGCGGCTCTCACGATGAGGAATCCTCGGCAACAGTCGGGCCAGGAATTCGTCTGCCAATCGTACAAGCTGATGAAAAGGCTGCGGAGAAACGGAAACCACGTCAATATCCTCTGGGTCCCTACCAGCGCGGACAATAAACTGCTAGGTCTAGCCAAAGAGCAAGCCAGGACCGCGACCCAGAAGGATGCCGCCCTACAAAAATCTGGCCCCAGGATGAAGTCGACAACACTAAAGATCGCTCGGTCTCAAGCAGCTCCCAGCAATGACTTACCGGGGAACGTAGGAAGACACGTGAAACGAGTAGATGCAGCACTGCCAGGGAAACACACTCGACAGCTGTATGATCGATTATCGTGGAAAGAAGCGAGCGTGCTGGCCCAACTCCGGACTGGCATGGCCAGACTCAATAGCTATCTCTGTCGGATCAACGTTGCAGACTCGGACCAGTGTGCATGTGGACAAGCAAGAGAGACCGTGGAACACTTCCTCTTCCGATGTCGGAAATGGACCACACAACGAATAGCATTGCTGCAGACTAGTCAAACTCACCGGGGCAATCTCTCCTTCTTCCTGGGCGGGAAATCGCCCTCGGACAATCAGCGATGGATGCCGAACTTAGAAGCGGTGCGAGCCTCAATACGATTCGCGATCGCCACGGGCCGACTCGACGCCACCTAACCACGTCAACCAACACAACGACACCCTCCTCCCCCTTCACCAACCTACACCTACCACCTTGTGCCACAAATGGTGGACGCGCTTCAACTGCCGAAGATAGGATGTTGAACACTTGAAGAAGCGCCTTCAAGCCAGTCTACTAACCAACTTACTAACCCACAAGGATCCCTTTGATATTGACAGCTCAGAGGACATATACTGCAAGGATCCATGTATGGGCTCGAAGGAGACACGGCAGATGTATATTAGGACGTGTATCGATAGATTAGTTTTAGTTGCCCTTTCGGCTCAGCCGCCGGGCGTTAATGAATTGTGTGTGTGTGTGTGTGTGTGTGTGTATGTATATCTTATCCGAAAGGACTTTTCAAACAAAGATTACAAAGTGTTTAAGGGGGCGGATTGCAGGAAGAGGCGCAGAACTAGAATATCCACTATTTACTACTATGGCGCCAAGATCATCCGCAAAAACATCTGAGATGGATACGAGAGGCATGTATCGCATCATTTCGCTTACCTAGTTATCTATATTGACATCTTATATCATCATAATAATGTTACATGAGAATATACCAATTTTGGTGGATTTCTTGGCAGCACAAAGGTACACAGACTAACAGAACTGATGAGGCCAATACACGGGAAGAAAACAGTTATGTAACTTGACGTATGGAAAATACTAGCGCCGCTAAAAGGAACTGCCACCCCCACAACCCTGTCCCAAGAAGATGGCCTGCTTTATGGAAACATATCTCTAGTAGAGGAACTTCGGGGCCGCAACAAATTGTGAGCGCATATAGTGGTACAGAAAAAAATCACCAATTGCTGACTTGATATCTCCATGTTTGCTGCCCTTAATTAGACTAAATGCTAGAGATATGGGTCTATGATTATGAAGGCTCTTCACTCTTCTGTGTTCCCATGTTGATCCAGGAAGTCTAAAGAATATCGAGAGTAGTGACCGCTTGGAAATGTTCACGTCCCGAGATCTCTTCATATCCTTCCAACGCCCGTTGATGAATCGCTTCCGCCTCTTCAATTTCCCTTGGCTGTCAAGTTCGTCGCCGTTTCCACAACAAACCGTCGCCATTTGAGATTGAGAAACGAAAACAGAAACGCCCAAAGACCGTATCCGCCGCCCAGTCGTTGTCCAGGTTCCTAAATTCAGCATTACCAGCATTCTCAAGATTCCTGGTGGAGATGCAGCCAGCTGCGGACAACTGTTGGCCGCCTTATATGGGAACCCACTATAGCCGCACCATGACGGCAGCCTAATAACGGAAATGGCAACAAGGCCACGCGACAGGCTTTACCAGGTGAGGCTCAAAGTTCACCGTTCAGGCAGTTTGGAACAATCACAGGGATCAATCATCATGTATTTAGAAAGTAGTTGTATCCTGCATATCGGTCGCGAAGTTGGTTTACCCAACTAGGCCAAAATACGAATCCGTACCTAGCCTAGTAGGCTGTGGTTTATAATCCAACTCGCGAGGGGTCANTTGATTGGAAATCAACTTGGACTTCATGCTGTATATATGGCCTCTTTGTATCCCTCTGAAATAAGAAGAATTAAGCTTCCTTTTGCACTACAACAGGTTATGAGCCCGAGTGCAATCACTCGGGTGCCGTCTCTACTCACACCGAGATCCTCAATTCTTTTGACTGAACTTGTGAATATATATTACCCCGCTTCCTCAACATCATGTCGGCTCTCGTCCAGGACTCCCCCGATCGAGCCGTCACAGCCATCGAGCCTCTGACAGGAAGCGATAACTACGCTACCTGGAAGCGCCTCATGACTTCTTACTTGAAAGCCAGGCAGGTCTGGGACGTAGTGTCCGGCGACCTCCAGCATCCAGACTGCCAATTCAAATATGCCAAGCCAATCACCGCGGACATTATCCCGCTGGTGGAGCCCCACCTTAATGGGGCGGTACGGCAGAGAGCCATCGAGGCTCGCCTCGAAGTGGAGGTCCAAGCTTTCGAGCGCCACAAGGAATGATCGAGGCGCGAAGCCGAGGCCTACCGCATCATCTTCCGGTACCTCTCTCCCCATATCAGTGCGCACGTCGCGGGACTGGAGACGTCTCGCGAGCTCTGGAATGAATTGGAAGAAAGATACCGGCGCATGGAGCTGGCCACGTTTTGCGAGCTGTTCGCCCAGCTTCGCGAAACCACGGCCGCCCGGTGCGCCAGCACGCGAGAATTTGTCGATCGTGTGCGGTTGCTCGTCCACCGGCTGAATGCCATTGCCCCGGGATCCATCGGTGACCGAGCACACATCGCAATTCTATTAACACAGATCGGACCGGAATACGTCCTCGTCGTGGATGCGATCCAGAATGACAAGGACCCGGTCAATCCGACAACGATTGGCAACCGTCTCGCCAACGCGGAGCAGACGGTGCAGCGAAAGGACGCTGCCACACTCCCGCACGGAGCGCCAGGATCTGCAACCAACACCTCTATCAATACGGTGCAGAAGACCGCAAAGAAATGTGCCTACTGTAAGAAGCGCGGCCATGTCGTCGCGGAGTGCTGGAAGAAACAGCGCGAACAACAACCGCCAAGGGACCATGCCCTCAAGACGGAAAGGAGTGTTTCTGGCTCACCAAGACAGCATTTGCGAACCATACCATCCAGCCAGAGGGAAGAACGGCAGGGCCCGCCGACTTCCAAGAGACCGCGGATCAATATCGTGAGGGCGAGGGTGACGACCCTTTATACCCACGCACCGTCCCCGCGGTGGATCCTGGACTCGGCCGCCACCAGCCACATCTGCTGGGACCGGAGCTGTTTTGTTAGCTTGCGGCCCCACCGTGAGATGTTGGATACGGCGGGCGATCCAGTAGAAGCCGAAGGGATTGGCACGGTGAAGCTCACGCTCCGGGGGAAGTTTAACCACCCCCTGGTGTTAAAGAACGTGTATTTCGCGCCACGCATCGGAATGAACCTGATCAGCGTGCCGAAACTGCTACGCGACCGCTACTCGGTGGTGGCACACCCACAGAACGTCTTTGTGCAACGCCGAGGACGGACCGTGGGGACGGCCTACCATGCGGAGGAGGATCTGTTGATCCTGCGGTGTCATGTGAGCAAGAGATCTCGTGAGCGAGTCCAACTGGCGAGAGCGCCGGCCGACCGTGTCCATGCAGATTCCCTGGAACCGCAGGCGGTGGACATGGACGTCGACGGCCCTCAGGAGTCAAGTGGCGTAGGATGCGCATCGCCAACCTCTGAACTCGGTGGTGAAGCTCGGATACTCGAAGAAGATGCATGCACAGGAGTGGGCCAGACCACCGAAGCGCTGTGGCACGCTCGGATGGGACATCTCAACCGGGGAGACTTAAGGGTGGTCCTCCGTCAGACTGGCACTCCGTACCGACCGCTGACTCGGGCCGAACTGCTGGCAACGCCGCAGTGTCCGGCGTGCATGTCGGGTAAGCAGCATCAGAAGAGGAACTCTCGTGCAAGATGGCCACGTCTGCACTCGTCACAAATATTTGAAACGATCCATTCGGACGTCATGGAAATGCCCGTCGCCAAAGATGGCTCCAGGTACGTGATCACCTTCACTGACGATTATTCTCGAGGCTCGTGGGCGTATGCCATAAGATGGAAACATGAAGCGCTGCAGAAGTTCCGACAATTCGAGGCCTGGGTGCGCCGACAGTTCGGCGCTCAGATTAAACGGTTCCTTACCGACAACGGAAGAGAATACTTGCCAATCGGAACACATCTCGAGTCCCAGGGAGTCGAGTTTGACACGTCGCCGCCATACTGCAAAGGGCAGAACGGACTGGCTGAGCGCACGAATCGCACTATCCGGGAGCGGATCAACACGCTCCTGTCCGATGCGAAACTTCCTCCTTCCTGGTGGCCCGAGCTCTTGGAGACGGTAGTTTATTTGAAGCTGCGCGCGCCAGCATCAATTCTGCAGAAGAAAACACCGTTTGAAGTACTATACGGGAAGCCGCCGACGCTGTCGCACCTCCGACGGATCGGCTCCCGTGCATGGGTACTGATTCCAAAAGAGCATCGAGCTAAACTCGGACCAAGATCGTCCGAATGCCGACTGCTCGGTTACTGCGAACCGAATCAGTACAGGCTTTACGAAGTACATTCTGGAAAGACAGTCTTTTCCCGTGATGTCGAGTTCGATGAAAGGACCCCTGTGGCGCCGCTCATCGAGGGGGAAATAGGTAACGACCTCCCGGACAACGCTCCTCCATCACCTGTCTTCGCTGAACCAATTCTGCCTGCGTCTAACGCACCGCCTACACCTCCTCCGTCCCCTCCATCTCCTGATGATCTAGAGAACGTGCCCTCTGGGCCAGTTGATAACGCACCCTCTGAGCCAGTTGATATTCCTTCACCGGTCAATCCAATCTTTCGCGAAACGCAAGCAACACCCGACCTTGGCTATTCCTTGTATGGCCGAAGACGAAAACCCTCCAGGCGACTCTTGGAGTCGCTAGGCAAGGTGTATGCGACAGGGAAATTGAATGCACCTGTCACAAAAGACGTCGATCCCCTGACCTTTCACGAGGCGGTGTCGGGACCCAATCAGCTGGAATGGTGGGCTGCGATCCAGAAAGAATACGCTTCGCTTCTCGAGCATGGCACATGGGAGAAGGTTCCACGAAATGAAGTTCCCCCTGGGGATCGGATCATTGGCTGCAAGTGGGTATTCAAGACGAAGGCCAATGGAATTCGGAAAGCGCGACTGGTCATCAAAGGCTACCGACAGAAATATGGCATTGACTATCACGAAACCTTCGCGGCCGTGTCCCGAATGGATTCGGTCCGTAGCATCGTGGCGAGTGCGGTGCTGCGCGGATGGAAACTCCACCAATTCGATGCCGTCACTGCCTTCCTCCACGGCGATATCGACTCCTCGATCTATATGGAGCTGCCGGAGGGCTTTGAGGAAGACGGATACGTTTGCCGACTTCAACGCTCCCTATACGGACTAAAGCAGGCACCACGGATTTGGTACCAATGCGTCCACCGTGTCCTGGTGGCTTACGGCTTCACTATGGCCCAGTCCGATAATTGTGTCTTCTACAAGCCTAACTGTGTTGTCTGCGTGTACGTCGACGACTTTCTAGTCGCAGCCGCGGACGACACCGAGATCCAACAACTTCAGAGGACCTTAAAATCGGAGTTCAAACTGAACGATCTGGGAACGCCGCGTTCATTCCTTGGAATTCAATTCGACTTTCATATGGACGGATCGATTTCGATTCACCAACACCAATACATCCAAAAGGTCCTTTCCGACTTTTGCATGGAGACCTGTCAACCGAAGTCTACACCGATGGCTCCGAAAGCTCTCCTGAATTACATTCCAGAAGAGAGCGACCTGGATGAAGATGCAAAGGCTCGGTTTGGGACCGCGATCGGGTCACTAATGTATCTTATGGTCGGTACGCGCCCTGACATCGCGTTTGCGCTCGGGGCGTTGAGTCGCTTCACATCCCGACCGCAATCGCGTCATCAGGCTGCACTGCAGAGACTGCTCCGCTATGTCAAGGCCACGCAATTCTATCGCATCACATACCGCAGCGGGCAGTTGATCGGATTAACCGATGCCGACTTTGGTGGCTCGGTCGTCACGGATGGTGCATACTCCACGTCCGGTTATGTGTTCAAGCTTGCGGGAGGGCCAGTTTCCTGGTCGTCCAAAAGACAGGGGGAAGTGGCGACGTCCACGACTCACGCGGAGTACATTGGCCAATACAATGCCATCCTTCACTTACAATGGCTCCGCACGTTCCTGGCGGAAACCTGCCTCTTTCGATCGCCCGTGACCAACATCATGGCTGACAATCAATCTGCCATTGCTCTTTCCCGCAACCCCGAGTTTCACAAACGGACGAAGCATTTCAACGTGAAATTCCATTACCAGCGTGCTGTTCTGAATTCCGGCGAAATCAATCTCGAATACATTCCAAGCGAGGAACAGGCGGCTGATGGACTCACCAAGCCCCTAGGACCCTCTCCATTCATTACGTTTTGCAAGCTCCTAGGAATTGGTACTGAAGAACACATGAAGGAAAATGTGTAACCGCGATGGGGCTCTTTCCACTATTTCTCCTCTTCGAGGTTTTGAGTGGTTTTACCGAGGCCTGACCGACGTGCATATGTTCAGTATCGCCTCGCCAGCAAGGCGATCCTGAGGGGGAATGTTGTGATTTGAGGCTGTTGCTGCTCAGGAATGAAGCCGCAACATCGGAAATAATTCCTGCACTATCTATACGAAGTTCCAAGTTGATTGGAAATCAACTTGGACTTCATGCTGTATATATGGCCTCTTTGTATCCCTCTGAAATAAGAAGAATTAAGCTTCCTTTTGCACTACAACACAATGATTTGGAGTAGGCTTTCGGCGCTGGGTCCACTACGCGTGCGACGATGGTCTCCTGACCAGAGTGGATGGTGTAGGTTGAAATCGCCAAGGACCAATTCTGTCTGAGTTGAGCGCATGGATCGCTTCTGCTAGTGTCGGGAGCGTGTCGGTGGTCACTTCGTTGTAGACGTTGAAGATGTGGAGGTCTTGGTTGGAGCTAGGGTCGGACACTTTGAGAGAGATGATGTCCTTGGAGATAAAGGTGGCGCTCCAAGTACTCGGGTCGACCCGTTTGTTGACATAGAAGCAGACCCTTGTTCCCGCATCGGGGGAGTACATCAGCTGGAAATGTGTTTTGAGAGGGTGGTAGGATGTGGCGATGAATGGGTTGCGCCAGGGTTCCTGGATTGCCAAGACGTCGTATTCCAGAACCTTGGGGCTCTGAAATAAGCTGGCCATGACGATATCTCTCGACTTTTGGACGTTGTACTGTAAGATTCGTAGCTCTTGGTGTCTTAGCATTGGAGAGAGGCTCGGTTTTCGCGATCTATATGTGATTGGGTCCGGGTTCTTCGCGCTTCTGATCGAGTGATGGGTGGTTCTGTTCGGCGTCGTTGTGTCCAGCTGAGGGTCAGGGAGCTTCCCTTTCCACGGGTCTCCATCTGCACCGCCAGGTTTTGCTTGCTATATTTTGACTGGCGTAGGTGTTTCCGGAGCTCAGCTGCCGTTGTGAAATCCTTGCCACAGTACATGCAGACCTTCATGCATTGGGCGATCGTTAAATCGGCGTTTTGCGTCGGCCAGTCTATATAGGCCTCCTGGTGCTCATCACATTTACATCCTTTGTATATTCTCCCTCCGGTCGTCCGAGGGTCCGTCACCATCGACGTCTGCGGAGACGGGCCGCTATCTGGAGGTCCGTAAAGCCATACTTCGCCTATTTCGTCCGCGATACCATCCAGCCAGTCGTCGGCTCCTTGCGTATCTGGTTGTTTAGTGTCGACAATCGGGTGTGAGGGCGGCAGGAGGTCGTTTGCCTGGTCTGACTGCCAGACTGAGTCTTGCAGAACCGCAGGTGTTGCCCAACCCTCTCCGTCAGACAGGGCGATAGGTGTTGGCATGGTGCTTAGCTCCTCTAATTCCCCTGTTCCATCCGGTTCCCGGACCCTCCGTGGTGCCTGTTCAGTGAGCGGAACAGTGCGACCGTCAATGATTGGCTGTGCTTCAGGGCTAGTGTATACAGAGCTCTCAATCTCTGCCATCGTTGCGCCTTGAGGCCTTAATTCTGCTGTTGGTGCCGGAATTGGCCTCGATCGTCCGTGTGCACTCTGAGTATCCTGGGCGTCATGTGGTTCTCGCTGGGGCCGTGAGGTGCTCTCCTTTGAGGGAACGTGTCATTAGATACTGCGGGCCTCCTTAGCTTGCTCGACTCTTTCCATTTCCTTCCTCCTCGCGGGGCAGGCATTGCTCCATGCAGTATGAGCATCTTTGCACACTGCGCATCGGGGGTTGAAACCCTCCACTCCCTTTTGCTTGCAGTGTTTCGCCTCATGTTGCTCCGCACAGTAGGCGCAAACTTGAGACGCGTTACATTGAGTGCCGATGTGGCCATACTTGTAGCAGCGGAAGCATTGCTTCACTCTGCATGCGCGGTCGTAGAGTTGGCATTGATGTATCTGGCCTTCCCACGCCATTCCGGCATAGATCATGGCATTGGCCATCTCTGGATCTGTGAACTCAACAACGATCGAGGACGCCCGTTTAAGAGTGGCTTCCTTGGTCAGCCAGCCTATGTGTGAAATATCTGCTTTTGGTATGACCGTATAATTGTCTGCGAGGATCCGTTGGATGGTTGCTTTTTGGTCCTTGATGTTGATAGAGTTGGTGGGTATGCCATGGACAATGACTCCGTAGGTTGGCACGACGAGCTCTGCGTGTTCTCCAAGGCCTTTGATCCAGCCACTGTTCTATTTGAGCTGTATAGTTTCGGCAGTTGTACTCGTGAATATTTGGACATCGCCGCTCTTGAGCTGGTGCGCCGCGACAACTTTGACCAATTTGGTCGGCACGTTGTCACGTATTGAGGACTCTACTTTTTGTCGGATCCAGATGGCCGGTTGTGTTCGGTATCGCTGGGCGATGTCATAGTCTTTGAGTTTGACTGTAACGACTCGGTCCTTGTATGCGGTGACCGTGGAGTGAGCCTTGATGCCTGGTATTCCTTGCGGTGCTGGCGGAGGAGGTGCTGGCGCGCCTTTGGCCTGAGCCGCGATCTGCGCCCAGGTTGCAGTAGCTGCTCGTCCACCACTGAAGTTGGCTGTATTGATCGGAATTGTGCCTAGTCCTACGGAGTTCTTGATAACTGTGATGTCTTTTTGAATGCTCTGTGTGCACTTGGCCGCGTCTTGGACATGCTGGAGGATATCGCCGATCGCAGGCTGGCTCAGGACCTTGCCGATGAGTGCAACAGTCGAGGCCACGTACTGCTGTACTATGTTCCATGGCACCTGGTTCTACCGTCCTCTATCCAGCGCTTGCAGTTGATTACATGCTTCTTTGAGATATGTGGCGTGCTCGTTGAGGTTTTCGGGACCGTTGTTTACCCGTGGCCACCTAGGCGCCATTACGACAATTAAGACGCGTTTTGACGCGTTAATTGAAGTAAATGCCCACGAGGATACAGGTAGACTACATAAGTTGCCAAAAATGACGCGTTTTCAAAAAATTCGTTCTGAGCTGTGGGTGGTGTTTTTTGGATCGAAAATGAGCGTTCTAGGAGCGCTCCAACTGCCATAGGGTTTCAGATGACCCTTAAACCGACCGTGCCGTGGATAGGTTAAACTATTGCGAGTATGAGCAAATCAAGGACGTAGCTTTCACTTTGTCAAACTTCCACAGCCAATGCACTGTCGTACGGCTGCACTCAAAAATGTGTCTGCGTGGATGGTAACTAGGCTCATGCACGAGCGTACTCGAAAAATGAGGGCGTGTAGACGCAGACTTAGTCAGAGCACAGCATGTCCACCAGCCTCAGTTTCAAGGCTTAGCCATTACTGAAAGTGGAATGACGGTGACAACAGAGCAGGCCACAGTGAACCGGGGATCTACCGCACATCGTTTTTAAGTGTTGATCGTTGATACATGGGTGAAGCCTGGACAAACGAAGGTGAATGTTGGGAAAAGCCACCGCTGCCTCGCCAAATGTAGCACAAAGGACTGAGGCCATGGCGTGGCTTTCGGCAAGGCCTGTCACTGGATCACCCTCATTGTTGGCCATCCCACCGCCGCAGTGAAGAAAAAGAAAGGTTCAACAGGCGACATACAGACAAGTCCACGGCATTGCAATATGAAGCACGCGGCAACAGGAGCCGCAAAGCTATAAATGTGGCCTCTTCCCCGGATTCTTTGTCGAAATCAACCTGTGCTTTGTCGCACTGGATGAATCCCCTTGCAGCCAGCCCATGATAAGTTCTTCACCTTTGATTCTCCAAGCCCTTGCTATCACTCACACAAACCGTATACACCTACCCAGCTCTCATTAGGCTCTCAACGGTTGACTCCAACTGACTTGTGTTCGTGCCGTAACCAGACCCTTAACCCGGACCAGGCTTCAACCGTCTATACATTCGCACACATTCATCAGCCTCTTTGAGTCGAGATAACAATGTCGATTTTCACTAGGCCGCTGACGATGAGAACAAAAAGAGGCTTCCTGTACAGGTTGGCTTTTTGTCAGCCCAATACAATCGGAGACTGTGCTGAAACACCAAATATTACGACCAGTCCGGTCAATTCAGATTCAGCTCCAAGTTAGCGTCACAAATATTCCACGCCACCAGCCAGCCATAGACGAATCCAAATCACCAATCAGACCAGAATGTGTGAGCAAGCCTTTATGTGAGTCATGAGTCTCTTATCTATCTGATCCACTTGCTAAATCATGTCCGACAGAAAGTGACTCCGGCGAAACTTCGGGGATCATCAGCGTCTGATAATGATTCATGCGTGATTTACACGCAAATATCCCGACAGGAACTTGCTACTTTCATGCACGCGTCGCCGTGGTCCCGGGTGCTTCCAAATCTGGGGAAGTCTCCGGAGCATGGCTACACCTGCAGTCCGCCACGGCTGGAGCTGCAAGTGGATCGTATTGAAGTGTTTGTTGGACTCTGAGCATGTCCCCTCATCGTAACATGTCCGTGCTCTTGGTCGAAGCCTGCAAAGGGCGATAAGGACATCAGGCAAGATGGGAAGAGTGAGAAGAGACTATAATTACGAAATTCATGCTGAATGTCTTCTGCTACCGAGTCTCCCAGAAACCTGCCGGATGCTACGCAAATTCTTGAGCGTGCATTATACGCATCCGAACATTGCCCCGTTCACTACGAAATGAGGAATCTCTTGCCTTGGGTTCCTTCGGATAGGTCAAAGTCAACAGGACTTATGGTTGCCGAGATCAAAGCCTTTCTCGCTAGAAGCACTCGTCGCTAAGAAACTTCCAATCCGAGTCGATGAACACTAGCTCCCAAAAGCATTTGCGGTTCGTCTGAGGCAGTCATGAATCACAATATGGCGAGATGTCAAAGGCACCTTCGACGGTGGGATTGAACAGTTTCTCTACGGGAAAGACAAGGGGGAAGAATCTCGCAGGTCCACATCCGATGAGGTAAGAGTTCCTCTTCCTTGCAACAAGCTTCGATCCTCGTGAACATCTACCAGTCTGATCGAATGACTATTAAATCGGAGGGCGGCCTGCAATGGTTGATGCTTCTCCTATCCCTGCAAAAAATCTGATTTCTCTCTGGCCATTGAAAAAGGAGACATTGCTGTCTTTGACAGCTACACAACATGGACGGTAGGTTCCATTGCTAAGACCAGTACGAATGCATTTTAACTGGTCAGTGCACGAGAGTTCGATGAGAGTTGCAGTCTGGTACGACTTTCGAGTCACTGAACATCGGCTCATCCACTTCACGCGAAACCAACGACATCGACAGCGCCAGCTTCCTGTGGTCCCGCTCCACGTGGATGAAGCGAATGTCGCCCCGGCTCCTGAATCGAAGATTCTCGTCATAATCAACCTGGATGGCTTCTCAATTCAAGGACCGGTAAGGCTGGCGGACAAGATACAAGCAGTGCGGGCCATCACGACTACGCAGGGAATCTCTTTCGTTGGCTTGGCAGCTCTTCACCGCCACAGCCGCATAAAATTGACCATGAGGCGATAAGATGTTGTCAAAAAGACTGGATATATCCCTTACAGCACAAATCGAATACCAATTTGAAACTGTCCCGCATGCCGCATCGCATGCGATAGCTGGGGGATCCCCAACTGCAACGCTCGTCATGAACGAGGGACAGACGAGGACTGAAGCGACTGTCGTGCGCCATTGAACCCGCATCATCGGATGCTTTGCCATACTTTGCCAAAGGGTCACCTCTTTGGTTCAGCAGTCTCATAATTCTTATGATGAGTTTCTCACCTTTGATACTGTCTGAGCCCTTCACTTACTGATATGAACAGCACACACCCCCAAACTTTGAAGTCTCCAGCTAGCTTACGCAATGCATCTCGTGTGTCTGCTCCACGGTATTGCCCATAAATCATCACACATGATCTTAGCTAAAGGGTGTTTTGATTTGAGGCTGTTGCTGCTCAGGAATGAAGCCGCAACATCGGAAATAATTCCTGCACTATCTATAGGAAGTTCCAAGTTGATTTCCAATCAACTTGGACTTCATGCTGTATATATGGCCTCTGTGTATCCCTCCGAAATGACAAGAATTAAGCTTCCTTTTGTATTTACAACAAAGGGCAGACCAATACGACGAGGTGTTGGGTGGAAAGGAGGAGGAAGTCGGGCTGATCCGTGCCAAAGTCAGATATACGTTGTCCAAACAGTCTACCGAGCATCTTTAGAGCCAAGCAAAGCGTGGTCAAAACTGAAGGCGGAGACTTGTGAGGGGGGCTCTTATTTAGCAGAATGCATACTGTACTGACAGAGGGGTTATTGTTCAAGCGCGGCGACCAGACCAATCCTGCGGGATTGGCGAGCACGGCGCAAACTTGCACGCGTCTTGCACGATCTCACCGCCTGACTGTTCTCGGCGGATCTTTACCGAGGCCACCCAGGTGCGAAGCACTGCTTAGCGACGTGTCAGACTCAATGCACGATACGGCATACTCATCCACCTGTTGCCCAGCCATGAGCATCCTGACACAGCAAAATCAGAAACGCGTTCCCTGCCACCCATTCCATCT